TATAGCTATCGACCGCACGATACTCCCGCCCTTACGGAGATTTGGCACGACCGCACCATACTCCCGGCCTTACGGACATCTGGCACCGAACGGTGGATGATTATAAGAGGCGGATGGCTGTGCTCGTTACTGTGTACTTACTAAAGAAAGTGATATAATGCGCCGAATTATGTTAGAATTGTGATACACATTTGCAATTGTCCGTTCTTCCTGTGGCGACGCAGTGACTGTGAAGGCTCAGGCACTTTACGGGCATCAATATTTTGTCAGTTTCACTCTTCAATGCGTCCAAGTCCCAAGCGCATTGATCTGGGGCGGCAGCGTGACGATGGCCCCGTTCCCGTGAGACATGATGGCGGTATATCCGGCCAGGCCCCCACGCGCGCAGTCCCAGCCTCTAAACGACCCAGCACCAGAATATCGGACCCTGCCGGCTCTGAAGGCATGCGTGACGAGATGCAGGGTGCAGCCATGTGATGCGGCCGCGCTGTTTAATGGGACATGACGTCCACGGTCGCTGTAGGGGTTATTTGGGTATGAAAATAAAAACTTGGGGCCGGGACCGTGGGTCAAATATTTCCGATACTTGCGTTCTAATCTTATCGTGTTAATATCCAGCAGGAGCACACTTTTGAATATTTCCCGATGTGCCTTTATAGTCTGTATATATAGTCTGCATTTGCACAGCCGAACCGAGGCAGAAAGTGACAATTTGGCATTCAAGAATCGTTTTACTGTAACCATGCTTCCAGTGGCCAGCAGCTACAGTCCGGGTGGCATTGGGACCGAGTCAAAACGAGCCAAAGTTTCATTCGGTTAGCAAAGAATCGATTTCTTAGAAGCATTGTACCAGTTGGGATTTAGGGCTTAGCCAATGGTGTCGATCGGAATCGTTAATGGGTCGACTGAAGTAAAACTGCGCATGATAGAGGATGAATTTATTTTGTTTGCCTTTTTACGCTTCTGCCAACCTTTTCATGACACAACCCGGCTGCAGTTATCTGCATTGTCACTGGAACCAGCTCCGTGTCAATTTATTGCAGGATAAAGCCGCATGTTCCTGAGTGAAAACTAGAATCGATGTATACTATGATATGCCTCTCTGCATCGGAGTTGAATCAACGCAACGATTAGGGAATCGGTTTTTGAATTAATTCCTCATACCGGGTGGGATCAGGCAAGATTATTGTCGCTGGACTTCGTGCGAAGAATTGGCAACGCAAGATTCATGCGGCATCAACTGCCAAGAATATGCGCGGCAGCTCTCTCCTTCCCGCTTTGCTCGTGTCGCGTTGGTTAAGTTGTAATCAGGACAGCCAGGTTCAGTAAATCAGCTAACTCCGACCATCAATGTTCATAAAAATCAGTGGCGTGGGTGTGGCAAGCCTCGGTTGATCCGCAAAAGGGATGTCGTTCGCCGACCTGAAGGCTTTTAGTAACAAATTATAGATTAACATTATTTTGATTATAGAGGACCTTAAGGCAGAACAAAGCTATTCCACGCAACTAAGTATCTAACAGAGCTGTGAACTCGAAGAAGCAGTCCTCCGCTGAAGGCATGTACGTCATTTTCCATGAATCTTGAATGGCTTATAATTTGTTTCACTTTAAATTATTGCGCAGTGACGGCAACTCTTTTTTGATTTTTGAATAGTTTTGTTTGCGTGCATCAAAATACAGCGTTAGGTTTTTCCTTTGCAGCATTTTCGTTTTTGTACCTTTTGTGTGAGTTTTCATGAATACCAGCACGGTTTAAATTGTGTGCGCCGCTTTCACACGAGTACACAAATGACGCTTCCTTCTGTACAAGGTTTCATCAAAATAAAGATCTTAATTTTTAAGAAGACGGCCATAATAAAAATAACCAAATATTGAAAGACTCTGCCTTACAAGTAGTTTTTTTTTAAATAATGAAATCCAGTGTTCCCTTCTTAGCACAAAACTGCAAATTTATTTTTACAAGTCGTTGGTTACGCCTCCCTCTCTTTTCCCGAGTTTTATCTTCGACCAACGAGGGGGCGAGAGGTTTCTAAGATCTTGAAAAGTAAACCAGCTAAAGCCACAATGAAAACGGCATTGAGAAGCTCTAGCAAAATTGCGCAACAGTGAGTTAAACTGAACAATGATGAATACAGGGGCGCGGAGCTATGTTCAAATGGGGGGGGGGGGGGCACACTCCAAAATGCCAAAAGGGTCCCTAAGATTAGGTAGTGACCCCGAAATGCCAGGATAGGCCCTTTACGATCCATAATGGGCCGTCTACAGGTCATAATGGCGCTGTAGGGTCAGAATGGACCTTCTGCAGGCAAAATAGACCATCCGCAATCAATAATGGGTCTAATGCAGGTTGGAATGGGCCCACTTCAGGTCAGAATGGGACTTATATGGGTAAGAATGGGCCTCGTTAGGTCTTCATGTCCCTTCTATGGTTCATAGTATACCCTCCACACGTCAGAGGGGGCCCTTCATAGTCCATACGATCCCTCTACATATCAGAATAAGCCATCTACGGGCCAGAATGGGCTGGCCAAAATCGGCCCCTGAAGACAATAATGGGCCCCTCTAAAGGTCGGAACGAGCCATTTAAAGGCTAGAATAGGTTCTCCGAGTCAATAATGGACCCTGTACAGGTCATAGCGGGCGAATGGGTTCTGTAAAGACCAGAATGTGTCTTCTAAAGGCCAGAATGGGTCATCCAGTCAAAAATAGGCATCTGTAGGCCAGAATGGGCCATCTAGTCAACAATGGACTTCTATAGGCCGGAATGTGCCTTTTTCTGGTCAGAATGGGCCGTCTTTTGGCTCAGAAGTGCCCTCTTTTAGTCAGAATGGATCCTAAAGAGGTCAAAGTGAGCCTTCGACAGGTCAGAATTGACCTTTACAGCCCTATGTAATCCCTTTACAGTTCAGAATCGGGCCTCACATGCCAGGATGGGCTCTCCACAGGATCTCCAAGTTGAGGGGGGCGCCCCCAGGTTTCAAATTGGCGGGCGAGCTGCCCCCCCCCCCCCTCCCCTCCGATTCCCGCATTTTTGCGCGAATGTGATCCTTGGTAAATCAAATGAGGTCAAGGTTGTTCAATTAATACTTTATAGGTCCCTTCTGTTGCCTCAGGAACCAAAAATGCGATAACAATGTGAAAATGACGTTGAATAGCCTTTGACAGACGCTGATCGACGTAACTTGAGGCGAGCGTGCGATAACCTTCGCAAATTGAAGGGATCGAAGTTTTGGCTTTACTTTACCACGTGCCTTGCCTGGTCATCCTCGTCTGGATCGAGTCGGAAATTGTTCGGCAAGATTTGGTGCATCGGGCTAATCCAGGGACAATTGCGATTGTCACTTTTTAGTTGTTGATTGATATGAAATGTGTGTTAAATTTGGTGTTCTCACTGCCCTTACACGCCTGTCGCTTTTGCCCTGATCGAGTCGAAAAACGCACGTCTAGATCCAGCGCATTGGGTAACGCCATGAACGCATCTGCACACAGCTATGAGAGCCAAATTATTCAACAGTTTGTGTTTACGATATGGCGACTGCGGCAAAACAGCACCTTGTTGGACTCGCCCCGCACACCTGTGCCCGTCCAATAACCGTCACTCCTATATGGCAAGAGAACCTCACACGGAAGATCTCTCCAGGCTATGTGCGGGCACCGCCGTCTTCCCACTGTCTGATTAGTCTTCTACGACACAGACTAACAGACAAACAAACCTATAAAACCGTCCATTTGCAGCAGCGCGGCCGGATATTGTCATCTGGGATGATAGGGGTCGGCTCCATATTGGACCCGCCAGAATCGGAACCGGCCCGACTGCGCTGTTTCTTTTGGCGCGGCAGGGCACGCGGCCAAAGCGGAACCACCTTGCGACCCGAGCTTTCCCTCGATGATGGGTGCTGCACGCAGCCGTTGCTGGGAACAACGCTCAATTGTATATGTGGGGTGTGTAATTATGTTGGAAGAGGCCTTTTCCAGAAAAAACATTTTGGGGCGAAACCACCAATCGCTCTTCCAGTCAAGAGACATTCCAGCACGTTGATTTGCCCTGTACACAGTTCCGGATGGAACAAATTCATATCAGACTTATCGAAGGCCTAGCTATCTTTGTTAATTTGTTTAATGAAGATATCTGTCATTTATTTTGGGGTGGGTGAGGGGCGAACATACTTCAAAGTGCTTTGGAATTTGGTCGAATTGCGAAATTAAACAATTTTAAACTCTTGTCTGCTTTAGCGAACACCCATCATGAGAATGAAGGCAAATTTTTTGGGGGGATGGCAGACAAAAGGTTTATATTTCACACTGTCCACCTGAAATGTTCAAATGAAATATACCAGCGATCTACATTAATTTTTGAGGGGCACTTGAGCCATGCTTATTAAGGTTCAAGTAAGGCATGGTGCAAAGCCTTTCATTTTACCCGCTCCAAGTTTCTTGCAACGTTCTGAAATAAAACAAATTATGTAACGGTTTGCATGATGGAAAACATTCTCAAGCTGGCAGGTGATTGATCAAGGTTACGAAACACTTTGTGCAATAGGCAGGCCTCTTCAACGATAAATGACTGACGAAAACTGACGACGTGAAATTCTTATGTTTACTGCACATGAATCTCTGTGAAACATCCCAACACGCTCTTTTGTATACCACACTGCACATGAATTTCTGTGAAACATTCCAACACTCCCTTTTGTGTACCACATATAATCCAAATCAGGAATGGTTCTAACTTTCAGGATCTCTGATGTTTTGCATCTGCCACTGCTTCCGCTGGTACCTTAGTTCCTTTTGTAATGTCACCTGGGATTGTACCGCACGCCTTGGGGGAGGAAAGGCCTTCGGGAGGAGATTTCCAACTTTTTTGGAACTTGATATTACACCTGTTTTGTCGCCACGCAAAATACCACTTCAAAACCCCCATGTCCCGTAGTTTTTGACCCGTGGCGGAGCCGCAGCAACTGCGTCGATAACCGGTACGCGATGCTGCCGTGTGATTTCAGATTGGAGGAGAATGGCAATCGCTTTGGGCTGCGTGACAACCTCGCTTCTCTGCAAAGAACAAGGCATCACGGTGATCGGGGTTTGCGCCGTGTACGAGATCTTTGTTGTCCGAAAGGTGAGAACGCTACCAAACCAACCGCCGTTTCCCTGGAGCTGGCGATCCCTGAGGGATGCCGATGCTGGAGCTGACGATCCCTGAGGGATGCCGATACTGGAGCTGACGATCCCTGAGGGATGCCGATGCTGGAGCTGACGATCACTGAGGAATGCCGATGCTGGAGCTGACGATCCCTGAGGGATGCCGATGCTGTGCGCATAATATCCAGTCCAAGCTTTTTCAGAGCACGCACGGTAAAACCCGTAGCTGGAACGCACATGACGTGATGCACGAAATCTTCATAACAAAAGATCTACCACTGCAAAGTGAGACGATGGACTGTAACAGTTTATATCGGTCAGAGAGCACTTGCCAGTCAGCCATCGGAACGACATCTCTCGACATGTTCTATGAACGCGATGTGTCTGCTTTGGTATCAGCGATGCACGCGAAGTGGTCAAAACGTCAGGGAAAGCCGTCGCCATTTCCGGTTACAACATGTGCTTTTCTCATAGCTGACCCGTTTCCCTACACCGAACGTGGCATCAAGGACGCCAGCGAGACGGCAGTCGGAAGTCATATGCATAAATGATATCCCCATTGCGGCTTCCAAGCGGCGCGTTCTGTTCCTAATGCTGCCATCTGCTTGCGCTGGGATTTTACATTTGGATGTGCCAACTGGTCCGATTTTCCGTTGACTCGAGGCAAGGGACGCCCGGGCAAAAGTTGTGGCCTGGCTTAAGCAAGCAGTGGACGCACAACTTTGAATTCCTTTTTGGTTCTGGCAGAAGCTACCGTTTGTTCTCAACGTATCACGCAACAGTAGGTACAAACACGCCCGAATAAGCAGCGATGAACACGTTTTGTTAACGGGATGACGTTTAATCATATTCTAACAGGCTATGTACGTTGTACATCATAGTGTGTGTTTGGATGGGTCCTTAACGCATTTGAGTCCCAAGAAATCCGGGAGCGTATGGTGCAGACTTTTAATTGTCGGGCTTGAATGGCTGTTTCGATCCGTTAACTGGCGACCGCTTTTACACATATGCCCGACTCGTCAAATTAAAAACGTTTTTGCTCACTTATCTAACGAAGGTGATATAATATTATCGCACGCAAACATAACCTGAAGATTGAATCTTTATGGAGCATGTCAGCAGACGCATCTGCTCTTAATACGAGCCTACCAGTGTAGTGAATTTTTTCCATGGTCACCGGCGAAATAATACTTCACTGGACTTAAGTTACGCCGGCTCTCTTGCTATTGCGAACTCTTTCACCCTTGATAGTACCCAAACATGATGGGGCACCACTTCTCCCGCGACGTCCACCGTTCCACCGGTGCGGCAGGTGCGGTGCGGTCCGAACCACCGGTGCGGCAGGTGCGGTGTGGTTCGACCCACCGGTGCGGCAGGTGCGGTGCGGTCCGAACCACCGGTGCGGCAGGACAGAGAGCCATGTTGTGACAGCAAACGGTCTCCCCTCCCGCCTCTGCGCGCTTTCCGATAGTTTTCGCCGCCCACGCCGGTATTATGCCGTCTCGGGCCGTACGCCAGCCGCTGATAGCCGTGGCGGCGAGGTGGCCGTCTCACCGTATCGACAACGCTCCGGGGCAGCGCGGCGGCGGACCGGACCGAAGACGCCCGGAGCGTGCCTTCACCCCGTGACTGCGGCATGGCGCCCGATCACGCGTCGCTTAGCCGCGATGGGCGCCGTGTTACTGCGTACCACCCGCTGACAGGTCAAAGGTCACGGAGGGGTGGAGCAGGTGGCGACGTCGGACCTCTGCCGGTCGGTGCGGCGCCGGCAGGGCGTCTCTGAAAGGCGCCGTTTGTTTTATGGGTGCCCCCGGCAGCTGTAATCAATGAGTTGACTTCATGGCGATTTGCTGTCCAACAGCTTTATTTCAGAGACAACGGGTTACTGTCGGCCATTCAAATAAATGGGCTCTTTGTGTGTAGTTCTGGCGCGCGCTAATAGGTGGCAGTGATGCGGAGTTCCTGCGAGTTATGCTGTTCCGGTTGACTTAGAATGATTATTTGCCAGAAGTGACTTCACGCCGTGCAACCAGCAGAATATTACCCACTGAAGAAAGGTAGCAATAGTCCAGCTGCGAGCAAATAATCTTATTGGTCTTCTGGTTTGCTTATGATATTTGGTATCAAGTTTGGCATGGCATCGTGCACTTTCTGTATCTTACTAAAGCAAGGTCATTTATTATACAATGCATTCGTTACACTTGTACAAACAAACGATTACCACAAAGCACTTGACTGTTCAGCTGATAAGCCCTTCTGTCCTATTCTCGTTACATCCTGCATGATCGCGACGCCCGTTGATATCCGGGGCGGGCTACATGCACCAGCCATGAGTGGGCTTAAGTGCGGTGGGGCCCCCTTCCGAGTACCGAGGACATACCCCTTAACGGTGTCCCTGTATGGGCTGTCTCGGCAGAGGACCTCCGGGGTACATGTAGCTTTTCCACCATTATTGACTTTGCCTCATCCTATGACCTTGAAATGGTCACTAATGGCGCAAGGGCTCTAATCCAAACAAAACTAAAAACCGATCAGCTCTGTTCGGTTCAGTTTATTTTCAGTTCCGTCTTTTGCCTCCAGAAATGTTGTGAAGCACAGCATAACATAATCAAGCGCTTGGTAAGCAGGCGCTCATAACATTCAATCACTTGTCCGGAGCATGTCCGCAAGTCCAACATGAAACGAAGTAGGCTGCCTTACTGTGTGGCTGGGTGTAGCTCTTTAACAGGCTCACCGGAAGCCGTGGAAATTACCCCTCCCCCCCCCCCTGTAGGAGAACGGATTATGCTATTCCCATCAGTTCAGGACCCGCAAGGAAGAAAAAACAAACTGCATAGTGCAGATGACCACTATAGATCACTTCGTTGTGTAAAAACACCGTATGAGTTACAGTAACGAAACTCATCGTGGAGATGGTAACTATAGATAACTACGCTATTATAGATATTACGAATTTAACAAATTTGATAGTTAGACACAAAGTATTTCATCATTTTCAAATAGAGTGTGATTTTAAAATACTGGTTTTATCTTCTACAGGGGCATCCGTATTCAAACTTATCATTTTACAACGTGAATTTGGTTAATATCCCACACAATCATGCGTTTGTATGGAAGTGTGGTGTGCACGTCACCAGAGGCGTGTTTCATTTGTAAACACGGGCGTCTTACATACTTTATGTACTTTAAACAGTTTATGAAGGACGGTCTCGTCTGACGGTGTCATATATTTCGGAATGAGCCGAACATGAGTGACTGCTGTAGACGGCAGCTGTGTTCTTACCAAAACTTGTGGTATAAGAACCTTGTGCGACATACTAAGTATGTTTGAAGCTTTGTGATCTAATATATCGGCATTTTGCGTGCAAAAAGTACTTAACGCGCCTACCGAGTCAATGGGTGCGTTATGCATTTCACATGCTATTTTCTTCCTAGTTTTGCAATGCTAGTTACAAAAAGCAATGAAAGCACCACGGATCACGCACTGTGCGATTATTTATCAACTGGTACAGTTTCTCTCCAATTGTACCTTCAACCTAAATCGACTTCATTTAACTGAAAGACGTCACGAGGACCCATCACACCATGACTGTAGTCAATTCGTGTCCCCCCCCCCCGCCCCCGCTTCCCTGGTAACCTTACATCGCCTGACCTGCTGCAGGCGCGGGCGGGCAGGCTGGGCTAACTGTCCCCATCCTCCCGCTCCCCTAGTAGCCTTGCGTCGCCTGACCTGCTGCAGGTGCGTGCGGGCGGGCTGGCTGGGGTATCTGCACCCCCCCCCCCTCTCCCTGGTGACCTTGCGCCGCTGCCTGCTGCAGGTGCGGGCGGGTGGACTGGCGGGGTATCTGCACCCCCCCCCTCCCCTGGCCTTGCGCCGCCTGCGCTGCAGGTGAGGGCGGGCGGGCTGGCTGGGGTATCTGCACCCCCCCCCCTCTCCCCTGGTAACCTTGCGCCGCCTGGCCTGCTGCAGGTGAGGGCGGGCGGGTTGGGCTACCCCCTCCCCCGCTTCCCTGGTAACCTTGCGCCGCCTGACCTGCTGCAGGTGCGGGCGGGCGGACTGGGCTACCTGCTGCGATCGCTCGTCAGCGGCAAAGCGCCGCCGCCCGGCTGGCTGCTGGCTGCCTGCCCCCGGCTCGCTGCGCTCGGGGTCACTGCCCTCGGGCTCCTGTTGGCCAGGGTCAAGATCATGGGTGCCCAGCTGCCTGTGTTTACCAGGTAGGTGGTAAGGTGCAGAATGTGTTTTCTGCAAGCGAATTCTGCAGGACACCAACAACCCCTTCCCTGCCAAAGCTATGATATGATAACTGGTGGTCACCGCTGTTGAAGTTATTTCACTACCGTTTGGTTTTCGACTTGGTCTAGAAGTGCTTGTGGCTGTCAGTCTCGTGAATTTTCTTTTGTTGTGGAGCCTCGCACGCATCATCCGACCGTAAAATTGCATCGGCATTCTCTGCCAACTGAACGACTCCGCCGCGTGGCTTCTTCATCGGGCTCAGCCGTCACATCAGCGGAAGCACCCGGCGAACTCCACCTGGGGTGAGCCGGCGGAGGCCCGGGAGTGGGGCCGCGGGAGCGAGCGCGAGCACACAGGCGAGATTGGCGGCCATAAACATCGCGTCCGGCCTCCCCGGAGACGGGGGGCGCCGGATCGCGACTCGGCCGAGCAGCGCTCCGACTTCGGCCGGTTTCTTGTCGCGCTCATCGGGACAATGGTCGCTATTGGTCCCCTGAGGCCGTGGCCAGCGCGGCGTAATCAACTCAGCCCCAAGCGGCTGCTGTGATACCGACTCTGCCGGGAGTCGCCGCGACTCCTCGACGAATGGAGGCGAAATAGCGGGGACGTAATCTTATTGAGCGTTTTATTGGCATATCTCCGCATGCTGGATGCACACACTTAAGGTCTCGATGGAACGCATGTTGTATTGGGCAGGTACTTCTTGTTATATACTGCACATGCATGACAAAGTGCATTAAGACATATCTCAAAAAATTTGCTAACTGTATCACGGCAGACTCTTTTTGTTTTGGGCTACACCTCAGACTCGTACTAATTGCCACCAATTTCTTTCAAAAACCTTCGCTGTCTTTGACTTTCGTATACAAATGCTCTTGTTTCTTTTGCTAAGAATTGCAAAAGCCTCCTTTCACTCACCACCACGATACCTTTGAGGTAAAACGCGTCGAGCTGAAAGCCTTCCTAAAAATAAATAAACAAAAACAAGCAAAGCAAAGACAGAGGTGCCCATTGTCTAGCACTGGTATGAGATACCCTGGTAACAAGTGAAAAGGTCCTCAGTTCCACCTCACAGCGAGTGCACCGTAGGAGGCGACATGCCTCATTTGAGAATAGCCTCATTTGGAAGCGTGCCTAGTGTCCACGTGGGGGCCATTAGGGCCGGCTTCTGTTATAGCCTCTCGGCGCTGATATGGCCAAGATTGCTTAGTGCTCCATTAAGGTCAGTGCATGCACCACGACTTGCCCGCCAAACCATGTTTATAGCAATCTCAACCAGCTGGGGTATTCTGGTAAAATTTAGGGATCCTACGGCTTTTGTGCTGATGCTTTTCACTTGAGCTTAACTGTGAGTTTGTAGAAGTTCGAACTGTGCAGTCAAGAATAATTTGTCAAACTTCAACACTTACTGACAATCTTCTAGGATCCATAATCGGTTTAAGGTTTGCGCCGGGTGTGCAGAGGGCATTGCTCTTTGTCACGGCCTTTTACCTGCGCCTTCACATGGGCGGGTTAGCTTAACCCAAGGGGCTTGCCCGTCTAGTCGGTCATCAATAACTGAAATCGTCTGCGGATGCGAATCATGCATGACGTTTTCAAAACGCGCTGGTCCATTCGTTCCTACCGCACGCTAGCACTCCTGCAATACTCTGGGAACTTCCGATGTTAATGGCTTCAGCAATTATTTGCTTACATAAATCAATCAATCATCATAATGTACCTCAGATCTGTTTTTCTTCACGCAACGCGTCGGACAGCAAGTAGCCGCTTAATGCACAATTCATACCGCAACATCCTACGAACAAAGCCTTTTTTCAAATGCTTACAATCTTAAGTGTCTCAAAATAACTTAAGTACTTCGAAAAACATGTCCCAAAAATTGCTCAGTTTAGGTCTTTTCAACTTAAAGCCTGTTTTTGAGATGTTTTGTTGGCGCTCAGCGTAAAAACAATACCTGTGTGATAACATTGATGCAAGTGATACATACGTGTTTAACGCTTCCCTTGCGCAGATACGGTTCTTTGAAACCCTGCAAGACTTCGAGCTGAGCTTTCCCGGTTCAAAATTTGTACTTGCTCACCGTGAAATCGGAATTGATTGAAGATGAGCTTATTTAAATGCGTTAGAAAGGCCACTAGATTGCAAGGCAAAGTATGATGCCGTAAAAACAATGAATCCTTGTTTCAACCCGCCCAAGATTGCCTCGCGTAAAGCCCTTATCAAGGTCGCTGCAATATAAGCCCCATCAAATAGGGCCTAATAGACTTCTTTCCAGAAAGCGTGTTTATGGGCCCATAAAGAAGGGGTGCATCACCGCTCTCAATTACCCGCTAAACAACTGAAATCGGCTTAATGACGTGATGAAGTGATGGCCGACTTCGATGGGTCATTTCGACCTCAATTGGGGTGCATTTCGCCAGGTTCGACAACCCGGCATCTGTGGCCGGCTCGCCATCCCGCCAGCTCACCTACAACTACCTGGTGGGTGTCAACGGCGGCCTGCTGCTGCTGCCGCACGGCCTCTGCTGCGACTGGACCATGGGCACCGTGCCGCCGGTGACATCTATCGGCGACCCGCGCAACCTCACGCCGCTGGTCACGTACGCGCTGCTGCTGCGCCTGCTGTGGCGCGCGCTGACCGCGCATGACAAGGAGTCCGACCTCGTCATCATGGTGAGCGGGACGGATGACCGGTCTGTGGGTGATGTACTGTTTGGAGGTGGAAGGGTTCCCGTGGTGTGTGCGCTGCTGCACCGCCGCTACCGCCGAGCTTGGACCCTGCGGTCGGCTGGCAGGACCTCGGCCCTGGTGTAAGCACGCCGGCGGAGGGCGCCCAGCTCTTCAGTCGATGAACACCGACATGACATGCCCCATAGAGTCGGTGACGCCAGCGAGTTAAAAATTCAGCCGCATTTGCATAACTGGCCGAGCCAGACAAATGCTTTCAGACGCTGTTAACCGGAGCAGCATGGCCGTGGCTGTGGTGGCGCGGATTTACAGCCAACTTTCGCACCCGCAGTCACAGCCGGGGTGTGGCTTGGCACGAAACGCGCTGGAAGCTGGCAGGCGTCAAGCTTTCGCGATGGTGTACTGATGCACACTTGGCCAAAGCGGCTAACGGCCTGTAGCCTACTTTAGCATCTGATCCTGTCCTCCACACTGTTGAATGAAGGTGGAGAACAGGCAGACTGGGTATGGGCCGTCGCTTGTTTAATCGTGAGTGCGAATTACGTTTTGATGCATGGAAACAATTCACCGTAAAAGGGCCTTGACGTACACTCTGTTAGGCACATTTCTACTCGCCGTTCCCCTGATGGGATTACTTCTGATCCGCCGCTGCTGCTTATCTGCACCGCTATATCTCCCTCCCCCACAAGCGGCGAGGCCGAGAAATGGCGTTGTTGACGACGAGCAGAAGCGCTCGTTGGAGCGGAACGGTCGCCGCTCCCCCGGCCGCGTCTGGGACCGGCCGGTGGTGCAGCCTGCCGGCCACGGATGACCGAGTCAAACGGCCACGTCATGGACGACCGGCCCGAACGTCGGATGGCGGGATGACCCAGTCAAACGGTCACGTCGTGGACGAACGGGCCGAAAGTCCGATGGCGGGATGACCGAGTCAAACGGTCACATCATGGGCGACCGGGCCGAACGTCCGATGGCGGGGCGACCGAGTCAAATGGTCACGTCATGAACTGCCGGGCCGAACGTCCCATGGCGAGACGATTGAGTCAAACGGTGATGAACGCCATGAGCGCCATGAACGACCGGGCCTAAAGTCCCATGGCAGGACGACCGAGTCAAACTGTCATGTCGTGGACGACTGGGCCGAACGTCTCATGGCGGACGATCGAGTCAAACCGTAACATCATGGAATATCGCGCTGAAGTCCTATGGCGGGCTGACCGAGTCACACAGTTACGTCGCGGACGGCCGGGCCGAACGTGCCATGGCAGAACGACCGAGTCAAACGTCCATGCGTGAGGCGAGCGAGTCAAAGACCCTCTGCAGGGTGACCAAGTCCGGCGTCGCTCCGCACGTTTGTCGAGTCAGTGGCCCCATCGCGAGAAGATAAGAGTCAGCCCTCCATCCTCGAGATGACTGAACCCACAGCATGTCCGCAAGACGATCGAGTAAGCTCTTCATCCTAAGGACTCCCGAACCCAGCATCCTTCCCCAGAACGACCGAGTCAACCGTGTCACCGCGGCTCGGCGGATGTTCTCTTCCATTCGCTCTATTCTCGGCTATGCTCGGTCGACGGCCTAGCATCAGGATGTTTGTCGCGACATTACCGCTGACTTATTGCGCCAGCATCATAACGCGGTCCGCTGTAAACATGGCGACCAACAACAAACCCATAAACTGGTGTGGCGATGCCGTCGCGCCGCTGCGTAACCGTTAGCGCCCTCATCCCGCCGCTGATGTTGGCCGTTATTGGGGCAAACTGTGCCACGTGTGTGTATGGTGATGACCGTCGCCACGGCTATGACGAGATTACTTCCGGGAAAGTGGAGGTGATCCATCTGGCCGATTTGACAGACTGACAGCGCCATTCAGAGAGAGAAAATAAATCGTCGGCGTTTATTGAGACAAATTACCCACATGTGCGGAAAATTGCAATCAAAGTCGGACCACCAGAACCAATTAGTAACTATATGCATGAATAACGCCTCTGAAAAATGGTTTCGGATGCGCGCAGCAAGAGCATCTCGGGACCACTGCGTTCTGTGAACTTCTCCCCAGCGCTGCGGAGTTTTTCGACGAAGCCGACGGATCCGCCGCCGTGCGCGCCCTGACGTCTGTTGCTCCCTGGAGGAGAATTCGGCATTCTAGGCGGATGGTAAATCGTGGGGCGCGGCGGTGGAGCGACGAAATCACTCCCCCGCCGCGCTGCAGGCTCTGGCCAAGTCTGAGCAGGGCGGTCCGTAGCAGTCGGGACGGCGGAATGATCTGTTGCGTCAGAGGTCTGGAGAGGTGTGGGACGCAGGACAGGACAGGGCTCTATGCCTGCATACTATAAAATCCTGGTTAGCTTGATATGAAGGGGGTTGTGTCATATGATGCCTACGGCACGTGCTTATTTAATGTACCGCAAAGCCTGTGTCGTTCTCTCCTCCCCTTCATCCCTCATCACACCCTCTCCAACTCCCCTCATTCTCCGACCCGTCCTCGGCGCCCGCGCTGTTTTCGCCTCCTCCATCCAATAACCGCGCGAATCGACTCAGCTCCGCCGGTTATGGCCAGCGCGTCAGGCAGTCAGCCCCGGCGGCGCCCCTATCTGGCGCCGGCACCGAGCCGGTGGCGCTGTTTGCGCGGCCGCCGCGCGCCGGCCGGCGCTGCATGCCGTTTATCAGCGCTGCCAGACGCGGCGGCAGCGCATCACTGAGCGGTGCGGCGTTGTTGACCCGCGCCCAGACGGATGACGGTGCCAGCCGATGCGGGTGGCGCTTATCCGGTGTTGGAAGGTGGCGGTGAGCTTTTGCTGTGATATGGCGGTGGGAGGCGCAGTGGAAGCTTTGCGGCGGGCGAAAGGGTTAGAGTAGCTATGAGGGAATAGGGTTTTAGTTGCCAGTCGCGTCCGCTCTTGTTTGGCGCGTGGTTTGCTTGGGTACTTCTTAACATGATTAATTAAAACTATTTCATTTCAGCGGCTGGATATTATACTTTCACCAAGTTTGGCATTACGAAACGTTTTCCCCCTGCTCTGCGCCCATGCAAGATCATTCATCCTCCCCCAAACCATTACAGACATCCATGAATCCGGGATCACATTCTCCATTATCTCGTTGAATCCGTAAGCTCTGTGGAGCGCGTGGCTGTGCCGCATCACCATTATCACCCGCCGCGCCCGGCACCCCGGCGCCCGGCGGCGGCTGAAAACAACAGGCTCGCGCGGTTAAGCCAGCGTTAAATTTCCTGCCTCGCCCGGCGCGAGCAGCAGCGAGCGAGTGACAAACGCTCGAGCTGTTTTCGCTTCACACGACTCCTGACGCGCGGAAGCGCCGCGGAGCCAACGGAACGCAGCCGATCGGCGCTCGCCGCACACCTCTTTATCAGGCACCGTCGGCGAAAGAAACGGCACTTTGTAGCCTCGCTCGGGTTTTTATTGTTTCAGAAAGGGCTGGATTGGCCTGAATTGGCTGCGATTGAGGAGCGGTAACACGATATTGGTGTTTGTGTTCTCGCTTGAAAACGAACTGCAAATGGCTTTGACGTGGAGCGAGAGAAATAGACGAAATGTTGGCAGATCCTTTTTGTCTGTCGCTTCCACTGCGCTGGATTCGCCCGTCTCAAATCACTGCGCTGAGTGCGACCATGCAACTCCGGATTTATTTTCTCTTCTCGAACCATGTTATCGCACGCCCCTTCTGTTCATCTGTTACAGAGCTTGGCGTTGATGGTGTTTCCATTCCTGCCGGCCAGCAACTTGTTCTTCCCCGTGGGATTCGTGGTCGCAGAGCGCGTGCTCTATATGCCTTCCATGGGATTCTGTCTGCTAGTGGCCGCTGGTGCTTGCAAACTGGCCTCATCCAGGTAAAGTCTGTTTGCAAGCTGGTCATTCTCTCTCTCTCTCTCTCTCTCTCTCTCTCTCTCTCTCTCTCTCTCTCTCTCTCTTCTCTCTCTCTCTCTCTCTCTCTCTCTCTCTCTCTCTCTCTCTCTCTCTCTCTCTCTCTCTCTCTCTCTCTCTCTCTCTCTCTCTCTCTCTCTCTCTCTCTCTCTCTCTCTCTCTCTCTCTCTCTCTCTCTCTCTCTCTCCTCTCTCTCTCCTTCTCTCTCTCTCCTCTCTCCTTCTCTCTCTCTCTCTCTCTCTCTCTCTCTCTCTATCTCTCTCTCTCTCTCTCTCTCTCTCTCTCTCTCTCTCTCTCTTCTCTCTCTCTCTCTCTCTCTCTCTCTCTTCTCTTCTCTCTCTCTCTCTATCTCTCTCTCTCTCTCTCTCTCTCTCTCTCTCTCCTCTCTCTCTCTCCTCTCTCTCTCTCTCTCTCTCTCTTCTCTCTCTCTCTCTCTATCTCTCTCTCTCTCTCTCTCTCTCTCTCTCTCTCTCTCTCTCTCTCTCTCTCTCTCTCTCTCTCTCTCTCTCTCTCTCTCTCTCTCTCTCTCTCTCTCTCTCTCTCTCTCTTTTCGGTTTCTCTCACCTCTCTTTCAAACCCCAATGCGATTGAGTGCATCATGTCTCAGCTACCACCCAGAGTTGTTTTTTAAACATGCAATTCAGATTGATTGCATTTGCAGTTGTGGAAAATAGCTTTATGAATTAACGGCATCGTGATGATGGATATGTAGACGCATGCCAAGGTTTAAAAGACACCGATCATATAAACAAGCAGGCAATGCCATATCATTACTAGTCATTTCAACGTCCCCTTCCTGCCCCGCTACTGCTGTCTGTTCCTCTGGCTGCGGCGGCTCTCCAGGCCACCTCACCGCTGACTCCCCCCCCCCCCCTGCAGACGTTGTGGCCCGGCGCTGTACGCCGGCCTGGCAGCGCTCCTTCTCAGCCAGGCCCTCAAGACCCACCAGCGCAACTGGGACTGGCAAGACGAGTACTCCATCTTTGCCGCCGGCCTCCGCGTCAACCGCAATAACGCCAAGCTCTACAACAACGTGGGCCACGCGCTCGAGAGCCGAGCCCAGTACCGCTCGGCGTTGGCCTTCTTCCAGCAGGCGGCCAGGTGGGTCTCCAACGCGGTCCCGGGTGGGTTAGGTGGGTCTCCGCCGCGGTCCCGGGTGGGTTAGGTGGATCTCCGCCGCGGTCCCGGGTGGGTTAGGTGGGTCTCCGCCGCGGCCCCCGGTGGGTTAGGTGGGTTTCCGCCGCGGCCCCCGGTGGGTTAGGTGGGTCTCCGCCGCGGCCCCCGGTGGGTTAGGTAGGTTTCCGCCGCGGCCCCGGTGGGTTAGGTGGGTCTCCGACCGGCGCGTCACTTTTGATGTTAAGTCACTGAGATCAGGTTTACCTCGCTTTGAATTGGTCTGCGGGCAATGCCTGCCAAAAAGTATCTACTTCAGAGTCCCGTTCGCAGAGGGCCACCAAACATGTTACGAGCTCGTGCGTTAGTTTGCAATGATTGCTCGTTTTCCACATTTCACGTGCGACCGGCGATAAAACTCATCGCTACATTCCAGAAGCAGGCCAGCGGGGTGCGTCTCACGTAGTCTTCTGAAGTCGCGTCACGTATCTACATTAGCGAAATCTCGTCTCAAATTAACAGCCTAGCCAGTTCGAGCTGCTAAATCGTCGTGAGGACTGGGAACCAGCCGGATTCTGAGAGGACGTATATATTACCGGCCGGTGGTCGTTATCTGGTGCCGTTGAAGTTAAACTATTCGTCAGTGCCCACCACGTCTCCGCCCCAAGCTCTGGGGAACTGAGTTTTAATTACCACGAGAGGTGGATAAGATTCACACTGTTATCAGATTAAGTACTGGTACGGGCTCAGCACTTACTTCCAAGAATCAGACCTACAAGGACTTCTCAGGAGGGCTCGTCTGGCATCTTAAACTGCGCTTAAACATCCAAAGATACGGCCGCGTCTAAGAGGATTCCCCAGCAGCCAAAATGTTCAGGTTCTCGCCTTGCAGCTGGCTGTAGACCCCGACGTCCGGCGTCGCTCGCCCCGCCGGAGCCCCTACGGCTGACAGCGTCGGTCCGGGCGTGGCGAGGCCCGCGGACGGCGCCTCTCGCGCCGGCCGCTGGCGTCGGACGTCCGCCCGTCGCTCGTCGCCGCCGACGCGGCCGGGCCACGGCGGGGCTGCGTCGGGCTGCGGCGACGCCGCGGTGGGGCGGGACGGCGGGCAGCGGCCGGGAGGAGCGGGCAGACCGGACGGCGGGGTCGGACGGCGGGGGTCCGAACTAGCAGTGTCGCGAGGGGCGGACCTACTGGCGTGGAAGCGTAGGGCTTCGGGATACACCCAGTCCGCGATAGCTTCTTGTATTCAAAGCGTGATAGCGCTGTTGCCACCAAACGTCGTCGAATCGCATGCATTTTCTAGTGCATGATTTAAATCCGTGATGTCATGTCGCAGGTGTGATTAATGGAGCCTCCTCGACAATGACTTTATGTCTTTGCAGAGTGCAAAACGACGATATCGGAGCCCACATTAACGTGGGCCGGACGTACAACAGCCTCAAAATGTACGAAGAAGCAGAGCAGTCCTACTTGAAGGTCGGTGCAGTTGTTTAATGGCAAATTCGAGTTTGTAGAGCTCTTGGAGAGGCCACTGAGGGTGCATGGACGTAGCTTGGAATCGGAGTGGCACGAGGGCGAAGTCGATCGCCAGCTGGTTGCAGTAAGGCTCCGCTGAGGCAAGGCACGCCAGGATTCCAGAACTTCGCGACATTGGCGAAATCGTGGGTGAATAGTGCACTGGATGACCTGACCAGAGAACTAGAAGTCATGTACAAACCCTTGCGTAGAACCTGCTCCATTATGGAGCACTTGGCCAAGTTTCCTGCCACGACCCCCAGTTGGCGATTCATTGATAAGCCCAAGTTCTCCATCCAAGCCACACTGCATAGTAACAAGCCCGCGTCCCACAAGTTCGGTCTGAAACCGTCCTACGCCGTGCCGTAACCATACAGATGAAGCAGCGACAGCTGCAGTGCGAGCATCCATGGAAAACCTTCAGTAACACGGGAGGTATAGGGGAGCGGTATGTCCTAGCTGCTCAGCCCGACGCTGCACCACAACACGGCGCAGTACTTCCTCAGCGTTGCGTATGCGCCTGCGGAACAACGTGCGAAAGCGCCATTCCCCGCCAAGCGTGTGAGACGCGTGAGTAATTTCAAATTCACCGCATTTCAATCGAGGATCCTGAGAAGAGGATGCATTATTCCTTACACGGTCCATAAATTCTCCACGCGTGCCGCATGCTCGCGAGAGCCGCACCGCCACGTCAGTCGACTGAAAGGAGCGGCCTCGTAAATCGGTCAGCAGTTCAGCCGTTCGTGAGTTCTCTCAGAGCCACCCACCCGACCATTGCCATTCCAGCGACGGATATGTTAACTGATGATTGACGCTGAGCTTATTTGTGAACGCCGGTCTCCCGTCAGGCCCGTTAAATTCTGCCTAAGTGATTTCGGCTGATTTTACATTCAGACTACCGGGGCCTGCCGAATTCTCCGAGCGTTGGCGGCCTCCCTGAATGCTAAACGGGCGCCCATTGTGCTCAATCTCTGCCGGCCTACATAAATGCATGATGAGATCCAGTTAGCGCCGCGAGATTCTCAAGCGCTGCAGATGGGCGCACAGGCGTTGTGAGCGCCGGGCCGAGGGACACGATAATGAACAGACAATACGCCAGTGGCTGGTTCCGGAACTATGCAAAGTTGACAAACATTCGCTAACAGGTACCAGGAGACTAAGGCTTCAAAATCCTCCGAGGGAAGATGTTTATTGCGAAAACTACCCTGAATATTTCAGGTGCATTTGTTTTCTCTGGTTTGCACCGCTTCCGTTTCAGCTGTTAACTTATTCAGTGTTATTTGCGGCGGTATTTCTATGCTTTCGGGTGTGAGACTGGTCGCGTTGCGCCAATATGCTGCATACTTACCGAGACATGTGCTCAATTAATCACTTCTTTATGGAAACAAAAAGGCCACAATTTTCGGGACGGTGCAATGAATGAGTGCGAGCTCCCAGGCTTACCTTTGTTTTTGGAGTACAGCCACCGTTTCGTTGTGTGTGATAAATTGTGTGTTTTCTGAGGTGAGCGTTCTCATTATGTGCCTCGAGAAATGTTGGGCCCGAGTTTCCTCCTTCTGACACAAAATTGTTTAGGAAAAGAATGTTGTTTGCTTTAAGAAGTTCCCACTCGCTTCTTCCACTCCTTAGAGTATTCAATTATATCCTCTGACTCATAATGGTACCCACCTTCCAGTTTTGTGTTCTATTCGTCATGGGCGCATCGAAAGTGCCGTACAGGCTGCAAGCCACGTGATCCAAGCGCCGTAGCATGGCGGCAGCTCGCGCCGCCTCCCCTTTGTCATATCTCTAGCTATTCCGTCTCGTTCGCAGCTCGAACGCCGTCGGATTATATTTGTTCCCTAGCCCTCTCGCCTTTGCGTGTCAGTGCCACCATGCACCTGCACGTCCCCTGTGCACCTCCCCCCCCCCCCTTCCCCACGGTGTCGGCGTTTCGCCCCAGGCGCGCCGACGATCAACCCCTTCTTGGCCCCGCGCAGCTCGCTCGTCAAAAGATTAATCAAACTTCCGACCGGCTGGTCATCAATCACACAGCGAGTCGCACCGCCACTATAAACTTTGCGCCCGCCAGACCCCGAGACTGACGGCGGCTAAGTATCAGTGCGGCTGGAGAGAAAAATTCGCCGCGCGCCACCCCAGACGGCAAGCTGGCTTCAGACCGCGGCCTGAGCTGCTGATCAAGGCGGCGCGCTGGTAGTCTGTCCCAGACTCAGCGCACGCCCACGGGCAGGACGAGAGATAACGAAAACGGCAATATTTGCAGATGTTTTTTGCTGTTTACAAACTCAATAGCCTGTAACGAGCGCTCAGTTTGACTGAATAACGGAAAAGTGTAGCAGTTGTGCAGCCGCTGAACTCTTCCGATCAACAAAGACTACTTCGACATGCTCCGGACTGTGAGAAGTTCGAACTTGCCATTACCATCACAAGGCAACGCGCGGTGAGGCACGAGCGAAGCGATGACAGAAGTGAGGGGTGTCAGTTCCCATCATTTGGATGATGCCAAGAGCTAATCTAATGAAGCCAGATGCATTCGGCAACCAATGCCAGTGAGTTCGGTCCGCGCGCTGAAAAGTCTACTTCGCATGCAAATTTAGCAGGTAAAATCAACCAATGCGGCATTTACTCGCCAATTCACAAACACTATTGCCTGAAAAACCGCTATGGGTCTATAATCCTAATCGGGCTTAGTAACCTTAGTCGACGAAATTAACGCGCTTGCAATTATTTACAATCTGGATAGCTGTGGCCAAAATATTGTCAAAATCGCAAATACTGTGGGTTGATATTGGCCATAACATTCACAGCTGCACCCGTGTGTTGTTTTATGATTCAGACACTTCCAGTTTAGGCCATATAGTCCTGTACCCAAGATCAGTTTCGGAAAAGCTAACATTTGTCGCTTTCCCACTGCGATTAAGGCCCTCTTCTGGGTCGGGCAGTGAGAGCCGGTAGGCAGCTGTCGCCGCTAGATTCGCCTATACCGTGCAAGCGATTTCCATACCTTGCCCGCTCTGGCTGCTGAGATCTTACTGAAAACACGAGCGCGTGCCCGTTTACACACATTGGCCAGGTAATGTCTTTTTGCGAATGTGATTTTCCCGTCCGTCCGTTTCCCGTCCAGTATGTGAGTCTAATGCCGCTAAGACGCCGCGTCATAAGATCTTGATCTGGCTTCGACCCTTTTTCTTCAGTTTTAGGCAATTTAGAAATCTTACGTCTTTGGGTGAAATAACGGCGGAGGTGAAATCGGGGTGATAATACAATCTTGCAGACAAAACGACCTGATCAAACGGCTTGCAGGCAAAAACCTAACAATTTGCAGCTTTTTAAGACTTCCGCGAAATCTTCCTAGGATCAGCAAGAACACACCACCAGTGGCCACAAAGGCGTTTGCTTTTAGAAAGGGTGACCGCCGGGACGTGACAGACCGCTCAAGGGGGTAATTTCCTCACAGTTACAGTTATTCACAGTCAGTCACAGTTCGAGCGAGACTCACTCGGCTTGCCATCTCGCTCGTAAGGAAAGTTAGCTAATTTACACTATTTTTATAGGGCTAACGAGCCCGCGCCTTCTGCGAAATAAAACCTCCAGTTTACATTGATGTCGATGAATAATATAAAACTAAGGATCCGGGTTGTAGCGTGTCGCTGTTGTTGAATTCGGTTCCTCAAAATGCAGTTTGTTCTAAAGAAAGATAACAAACCCCTGAAAGTTGTAAAACCCTACCCATCTCATCTAGTTTTTCAAAACATGATTTGTTCTATCGATGGATCGTGCCGTTCTCTTTAGAGTAGGGCGACATCCACTACTGAGGACACTTCCTCGCCTGCAGAGCGTGTCGCATCTGCCGGCCCCTGTTTGAACCTCGTCTTCCCCCAGGCCATGTCGCTGCTGCCACGGGCGAAGCCGGGCGAGGTGTACCACGCGCGCGTGCCGCCCAACCACCTGAGCGTGCTGCTCAACCTGGCCAACCTGATCTCGCGCGACCCGGCGCGGCTGGAGGAGGCGGACGCCCTCTACCGGCAGGCCATCAGCATGCGCGCCGACTACACGCGCGCCTACATCAACAGGGGCGACTGTGCTCATCAAGCTGAACCGCACCAAGGAGGCGCAGCGCACCTACGAGACGGCGCTCTTCTACGACAGTAACAACCCTGACATCTACTACAACGTGAGCGTGCGCCTTGGAGTCGGCTAGGCCGTGAGCAGGCCGCGCCACAGCTGTGCGGTGTCGGTGGAGGCGCCCGATGGTCAAGGAGACACCCGGTGCAGACGGCACGCGGTGTGATGTAAGGAGTGATGGCAGCTGGGAGCGGCGAGGCAGTTGAGTCCCCTCCTATTAATCCCAACCGCACGTAGGAAATACCTGGGAAATGGGCTGGAAGGATGGGGAGCCCTGTCATTCCCCTACACTTCGTTCCAAGCTGTCTTCGCAGTACTGCCATGTTATTTCGTGTTGCCATGTTTGGTTGTCAGGCCTGCGAGCCTGCTGGTATTTCATAACACCTGTGCCCGCAGCTGCGCAGGAGTCCTGACCCTCCGCCTGTCCCCACAGCTGGGCATCGTGTACCTGGAGCAGGGGCGACAGGCGCAGGCGCTCGCCTACCTAGACAAGGCGCTCGAGTACGACCCGGACCACCAGCAGGCACTGCTCAACTCGGCCGTGCTCATCCAGGAGCTGGGCAGCGGCCAGCTGCGGCCGCGGGCCTACCAGCGGCTGCGACGGCTGCTGCAGCTGCAGCCCACCGTGGTGGACGCCGAGCGGGTCCACTTCAACCTGGGCATGCTGGCCATGGATGACCACGACCTGTGGACCGCGGAGACGCACTTCAGGAAGGTGGGTGGGTGGGGCGGGGCGGAGCGTAGGGGAGGGCGCGGCGGAGAGGAATAGGGAGGAAATGTGCTGTCCGTCTGGCAGAGATGGCTGATGTAATTCAGACGAGCGGTGGGCTATATCATCCGCAACACTCAGGTATAACAGAGTTTTCCCTTGTTCCAAGGGCTTGGTTCGTGTAGACAGCAGTTAATCATATGAGCCAAACTATGCCGTTTGGGGTGCGCTCCCTGGCACCATGTGGTCTGACTAGGCGACACACCCGAAGACAGCTACAGTTCCTGAGCTCCGCACGGCCAGAGGCTCAGTCCGTCACGTGCTCGGCCGACAGGCGGTGGAGACGCGGCCGGACTTCCGCAGCGCCCTCTTCAACCTGGCGCTGCTGCTCAGTGACGCCGACCGGCCGCTGGAGGCGGCGCCCTTCCTCACGCGGCTCGTGCAACACCACCCGGACCACGTCAAGGCCTTTATCCTGCTCGGCGACATCTACGTCAACAACATTAAGGACCTGGACGAGGCGGAGCGGGTGAGACCACTGGCCGGCCCGTCGCACCAATGATCCGGCGCTTACTTCGTTCGTTTGCGAACTAGCTCTTGCCATCTTAAATTGTTTTGTGCACGTAAAACAATTGCGAGAGTGCTTTTTAGCACTGATGCCTACCATGTGGATAGGACAAATGGTAAAACATGCCGCGATAAAAATATAGAATATGACAATGTGACAAGCGCTCCCGGTCTGTCTCGCCAAATCATATCAGTACATTAAAATTTCATGGAGGGGTCCTAAATACGACACTGCAAAATGCACGCGGCGTTTACTGCGAGGGCCACCTGTTGCTACCCCACGTGATGTCAGCCTCGCGTTCTCATCTCCTGCCGGGCGCCCGCCGCAGCTCAGTGCCACCCCCGTCCGCCGGCAGTGCTTCGAGCGGATTCTGCAGTTGGAGCCGGAGCACGTGCAGGGCCTGCACAACCTGTGCGTGGTGTACGTGGAGCGGGCCGAGCTGGCCAGGGCCGAGACCTGCCTGCTGCGCGCCGCCCGGCTCGCGCCGCACGAGGAGTACATACAGCGCCATCTGAAGATTGTGCGCGCGCGCCGCCAGGCGGCGGATGGCGAAAGCGTCCCGAGGGATAGCGTCACGTAGCGGGCGGCGAAGGAGCTAGGGTTAGGTGGGTGCTACTAAAGCTCTCTCCGCATATGAGTTTTGAGTCGTTGGTATGTGTAAATAATCTTGTGGACTGATTTCCATCGACACTGTAGAGTGAGTTGAACAAAAACGAGCCACATCATGCCAGCGACAGTCTGGAAAACCTCCTATTTTCGGTCCCTACTGCTCAGATCCCAGACTGGCTGACCTAAATTTTGCAACGCTGAAGTTATCGATGCTGGCCTAAATGTTTAGATAAAATACCGCAAATGTATTTCCATGATCACCGCTGGACATGGTACATCCCAATGACGATGAAACGCGCTAATGTGACCGTGCGTATGTTTCCAGCGTGCCAGCCTTCCTCGCAGCAACATATTTTCAAACTGAGTCTCAGGTACAGATAGCGGACAAACACTAGCGAAATCTACCGTTCTCGCCGTGGGAGAACCATGGGAGAACTGGACTGTGGTGCGCCTGAACCCTGCCACCCGTGAGGCTACTATTGTGGGGAAGCTCTTGAAGAAGTGCGTTCGAAAAAGTTCGCAGTGTGTGGCAGGCAGTGGCGGTGTGGCATGCGAACATGCCGCGGCATGCGAAGTGGATTGTTGTTTGATCTGAGGCCCGTTTGTTTGGTTTGCGAATACAGTGACACCACGGTGCGTGATCCTGCGCATGGACGCAGGCAAGGGACCTGGTAATTAAGTGAAGCTCGTTGCTACCGGTCGGGGAAGTGATGGCATGGTACGGGACCAGGGGGGTTGAGGCCGCAGCTGCTGTAAGTTTCTCGAAAGGCGCATTTGTACCGCAATAGTGACGATCTCATCTGGTGCGTGGAACAACCAACCAACGCTGACCCGACCGTGTGGTGTTTATTTGACTTCTGGTAGGCCTGAGATCCGTCGTCTGCGAGATATACAGGGTACACACGGCCAGCGTTTTATACAAGTGCGGCCTTTGCTGTCGAGCGCGGGGCCAGGGTCGCGGTCGGCTGCCGTTGGACGCTGCTGACCAATGTGTGCTGTGTGCCGCTTTGTGGGCTGCTGCCGCGCGGTGTAAGACCGCTGTGCGGGCGCTGTGCGCTGTGCCGTCGCTTTTGCCGTGCGCTTGCCTCGCCGTACGTTGCGCTGTGCCGTGGGCCTGTGCCCAGAGCGCGGCGCGGGACAACAGAGAAATGGTGGCGGCCCTGAATAGCACTCCCGAACAGCAGGGCGTGCTGTGCACGCTTCGAACAGCGCAGGGTGCTGTTCAGCCGCTCAAGAACTGTCCTCGTGGTATAAGGAAACCATTGAAACCCGACAGTGGTCCATCTATGATGGGAGCCCGCGATGAGGGCCATGAGGGTGTTGTAACGTGAATGTCAGACTATGTGTACCAGCAGAGGGGCCGAAGTGAGGCCACAGTCCTGAGACGAGGTCGGTGCGCCCGCCTGGCGCTGCACGTCTGTGATATCTTGAATAAATGTGCTGACATGGTGAGTGGTTGAGGTTAATATGTGGGACAGTGCGCTCAAATGCCCACGGCGCGTTCGGTAAACAGGATCTGGTCGGAAATTGGAAACATCTGTCCCGTCCACAAGCAAAAGTCGAGTTTTCCTTAGCTGAACTAAGTTTCTTCGCGTCGTGTTTTACGACAAAAAGCGCTGAGCTATTATTTACACAGCATGGCTTCAACCTCCCATTCATTCCGCCTGACCCAATGAAGCCTGTGAACAAAGGCTAGGAATTCACGGACGTGTATTACTGCTAAAATTATTTGAGCCTCAGATTCCTTCTGCTCAAAGGAATTGTACGGTATATCTGCCCCAGACGCCCGTATAAGGAACGAATCATGCAACCGATGCTTAATAAAATGACTTTAAAAAGACAACTTGATTGTCGCACAGCAACAGCTCACGGCACGCTGGCGACGGTTCATTGTCGGCTTTTTGCCGGTCCCAGACCCTTGCACAATCCTGACGGTCTAGCTCAACCTTCCGAGGCCGCGTCTGGTTTTAGATCAACTTCAGTGGCAGCTTCAGCGCCCATTTCAGGAAGGCGCCAATCATCAATGCAGCGTGATTTCAAGCAAGGCAAGAGGTGTTAAAGCACATCTGCTCTAACAGATGTTTCTCTATCACAATACAATGCACATGCTTACACTCGTAAGGCAGAGCACAAATATAAATAATGCATCACACATCACAAAACCCAGCACATCACGTATAGGGTGAGTCTGTAGAGAATACCACTTCGGTCACTCGGTCTGAGCCCACGCCTGGCACTTCAGGAGCGTTGCCGAGTGCACGTAGCGCGCCCTGAAAAAAAAACGGCACGTCCACGCCGGGCCGCTACTACCGCCGCCCACGGCGACCTTGGCGGCTCACCGGACGCGTGGACGCCGCGTGAGGCTCGTCTTCCGTGTGGCTGCGGCCGGTGCGGGTGCCCACGCTTACTGTCCCCCGTCAGGATCTCCCACCGTGCATCATGGCATCCGGTCGCGGCCGCGTGCTCTCCATGCTGCAGGCCATGGACCGGGTGTCGTGTCGGTGTCCGGCGCACGGCTCCGGCGGCGCCGTCCGGCGCGCCGCCGCGCCTGCGCCCTCCACAGACTACGCCTTCGAGATGGCCTGCTCCAACATCCGCTATGGACCCGGCGTTACTCAGGAGGTCGGCATGGACCTCAACAACATGGGTGCGAAGAAAGTGTGTGTCATGACCGATGCCAACCTCGTGCAGCTATCACCGGTCAAGGCCACGCTCGAGTCTCTGCACAAGCACGGCGTCAACTACGAGCTCTACGATTCTGTCCGAGTAGAGCCCACCAACGAGAGCTTCGAAGACGCCATCCGCTTCGCACGAAGTCATCCGTTCGACGCGTTTTTGGCCGTGGGCGGCGGCAGCGTCATGGACACGGCGAAGGCGGCCAACTTGTACCTCTGCAACCCGGAGGCGGACTTCCTCGACTACGTCAACCCGCCGATCGGCAAGGGCAAGCCCATTCTGGGCAAGCTGAAGCCACTGATAGCTATCCCTACAACCTCCGGCACCGGTTCGGAAACCACTGGCGTCGCCATCTTTGACCACACGCCCCTGAAGGCCAAGACCGGCATAGCGAACCGCGAACTCCGCCCGACGCTCGGCCTCGTGGACCCTCTGCACGCGCTGACGATGCCGGAGCGTGTCACCTGCTACAGCGGGTTCGACGTGCTGTGTCACGCGCTTGAGTCCTACACGGCCGTCCCGTTCAACCAGCGTTCCCCCCGGCCGGACAACCCGATCCACCGGCCGGCCTACCAGGGAAGCAACCCCATCTCTGATGTTTGGGCGGAGGCGACTCTGCGAATGATGGCCAAATACTTCGAGCGCTCTGTTTACGACGCCGGCGACGTGGAGGCCCGCAGCCACATGCACATGGCAAGTGCCTTCGCCGGCATCGGCTTCGGCAACGCTGGCGTCCACCTGTGTCACGGCATGAGCTACCCGATCGCGGGCATGGTGCGGAGCCACCAGCCGGCCGACTACCCGCACCACCACGCCATCATCCCGCACGGTCTGTCGGTGGTGATGACGTCGCCGGCCGTGTTCCGCTTCACGGCACCGCTCTGTCCGGAGCGCCACCTGCGCGCCGCCGAACTGCTGGGCGCCGACGTGACGGGTCGCACGGCCGCCCAAGCCGGCCCGCTGCTGGCCGAGCGGCTGCTGCAGCTGATGCAGACCATGAAGGTGGAGAACGGTCTGGCGGCGCTAGGCTACACGTCCGAGGACATCCCGGCGCTGGTACGCGGCACTGTGCCCCAGCACCGCGTCACCAAGCTGGCTCCGCGGCCGCAGACGGAGGAGGACCTGGCCAAGATGTTCGAGGACTCGCTCACCGTATACTGATCGTGGCGAGGATGCATTCGCTCACCATCTAATGATGATCGCGGAAGCAGAAAACTGGAAGACGAATACGTAGCATGGCAACTGGCGTTAGATGGGTAACAAGCAATTTGGGTTTTGCAAACACCTTCCGATGCCTGCGTCAATGTGTTTCATGTCGATGCCCTATGTGCATAAACGCGGGTAAGCAAGGCGTTCCCGGTGTACGTGTTGTGCTATGTGCGTCACGCCGTGTTTGAAAAAGAAATACATCGGCAGGTGTTGGCAGCATGGGTTTGGCATTGATGTTGCATTGACATAGAGACTCGGCATTTCTTCCCGTGAATTAAAGACTGAGCGCCACCGAGGTCCATCGTTTGGTTTATTGGTTGGGCCAGCGGAGAACAACCGGCCAATGACGGGGCACAGCTTTATGACGCCATTTGAGCAGCACCTCTGGCATATTGAAGGTCTATTGTTGTCAGAACACGACCGCAACTCGCAATGCCGAAAAACCAGGAGCTCAATACCTCTCTTGCCTGGCTTTAAGGCATTGGTTTAGTGACAGAACAGTGGTGGTCAACACATACACTGATAAGGTACCTGCCGCAGCTACAAACTCGTCAGTGACGCGTCCTGCGGTGTTGGACGAGCAAAGTTTCAAGAGACGTGGGGCCTGCTGAGCTTGTTGAGCATTTATTGCGTGTACATGTTTCTGAAATCTAAGGTAATGAAGGCATATAAGTAAGCATCAACAATGCCTCGAAAACTCCATATTTCTTGGCAGTTTAGCTGGTAGAGGCTCAGTCGCGCTGCGTACGAGTTAATTCATCAGTCACTCGAGTTGAAAATCATCTGACCATATGACTCTTGCCAGGACCGCCTACTTAACCACAGAGAATCATGCCACCTTAGTTGTACTTCTCACTGTTGGATCAGACGCGTCCGACGCGCCTTTTTGCAGCTTCTCGAAATCCTTCCGCGTAGCTCATAATTTAGATTTGAAGTAGCCGCTTCCGCAGGAGAAATCTTACTGGTCTCCCTGCTCGACACTTTGAAAGTAATACGGTTCCTTTGGCTTGATTTTTCAACATGTGTGTTTTGTAATGTTTGCAGCACACTAATTTGCCAAAATGCTTGTGTAATCAATACTACAAAAGCCGGAAACACTGTTAAGAGGAAGAAATATGCAAACATGAGGTCATTTTTCCGAAAATTCAGCGAAACGTTATGTTATGGCTTTGACTTCCCCTACCTACTTTGACTACCCCTACTTCGGATGGCGTTTACCGCAGTGTCTGTTTTCGAAGGGTACTTCGACTTTGGCTACAGGAAACAGAGTATCACACGGTCTATAGTGACGCGCTGGTTCAAACTGTAAACGATGCGCTTCTCGGTAACTGGCCCTTGACACCGTCTGTGCTAATCACAAACGTTCATTTGTACTGACGTTATTCATGTCAGTGGAGGTCCCACTTTCAAGCCTGCAAACCCGCAATGCGCTGGTCAGACAGCTTAAAAGCGTTACCTCTAAACCGAAACAGCTGACAACGGCCCTCAGCAATTTCTGCCGCCGTCATAACGACGGTGGTCGCGACAAGGGCAGATGTCGCAAAGTCGGAACATTCTTTCACTGGGGCAACCGAGAAAAGAAGAAGTGTACTGCTGCTACAAAACGCCTACAACGTGATTTGGACGCAAACAATATTCAGACTTATCTATGCCATTTTACAACTGAGCTGCACGCAAAGCGATCAGGCCGCTTAGGTGATTCAGCCCATGCGTCAACTCCGCAAGATTATGTCTAGAGATGCGCTAGTGATGGGACTAGAGGTTTGACAAGTCCCTCGACAGGTGAGCTGGTTAAAGAGATAGAATGGCAACGTTGCATCTTCCTCTGCCAAGTACAAAGAACATTCGCCCACGACGCATAAGATCCACAGGGCTACTTGACAAATTCCCAAAAGCAACAATTTTTCTCGCCAACTGTGACAAACTTCAAGGTCAAAATGTAGCCATCGTTGCATACCACTCAGTGCGAGTGTCATATGTGTGTGAAGCGCTCTGTCACGATCAGTATACGGTGAGCGAGTCCTCGAACATCTTGGCCAGGTCCTCCTCCGTCTGCGGCCGCGGAGCCAGCTTGGTGACGCGGTGCTGGGGCACAGTGCCGCGCACCAGCGCCGGGATGTCCTCGGACGTGTAGTCCTAGCGCCGCCAGACCGTTCTCCACCTTCATGGTCTGCATCAGCTGCAGCAGCCGCTCGGCCAGCAGCGGGCCGGCTTGGGCGGCCGTGCGGCCCGTCACGTCGGCGCCCAGCAGTTCGGCGGCGCGCAGGTGGCGCTCCGGACAAAGCGGCGCCGTGAAGCGGAACACGGCCGGCGACGTCATCACCACCGACAGACCGTGCGGGATGATGGCGTGGTGGTGCGGGTAGTCGGCCGGCTGGTGGCTCCGCACCATGCCCGCGATCGGGTAGCTCATGCCGTGACACAGGTGGACGCCAGCACTGCCGATCCCCATGCCGGCAAACAGGCTGGCCATGAGCATATGACTACGGGCCTCCACGTCACCGGCGTCGTAGACGGAGCGCTCGAAGTATTTGGCCAGCACGCGAAGTGTCGCCTCCGCCCACGTGTCAGAGATAGGGTTGCTTCCCTGAAAAGCCGGCCGGTGGATCGGGTTGTCCGGCCGGGGGGAACGCTGGTTGTACGGGACAGCCGTGTAGGACTCGAGCGCGTGACACAGCACGTCGAACCCGCTGTAGCAGGTGACACGCTCCGGCATCGTCAGCGCGTGCAGAGGGTCCACGAGGCCGAGCGTCGGGCGGAGCTCGCGGTAGACGATTCCTGTTTTCGCCTTCATAGGCTTGTGGTCAAAGATAGCACCACCAGTGGTTTCCGAGCCTGTACCGGAGGTTGTAGGAATAGCTATCAGTGGCTTCAGCTTGCCCAGAATGGGCTTGCCCTTGCCGATCGGCGGGTTGACGTAGTCGAGGAAGTCCGCCTCCGGGTTGCAGAGATACAAGTTGGCCGCCTTCGCCGTGTCCATGACGCTGCCGCCGCCCACGGCCAAAAACGCGTCGAACGGATGACTTCGTGCGAAGCGGATGGCGTCCTCGAAGCTCTCGTTGGTGGGCTCTACTCGGACAGAATCGTAGAGCTCGTAGTTGACTCCGTGCTTGTGCAGAGACTCGAGCGTGGCCTTGACCGGTGATAGCTGCACGAGGTTGGCATCGGTCATGACACACACTTTCTTCGCACCCATGTTGTTGAGATCCATGCCGACTTCCTGGGTGACGCCAGGTCCGTAGCGGATGTTGGAGCAGGCCATCTCGAAGGCGTAGTCTGCGGAGGGTGCAGGTGCGGCGGCGCGCCGGACGGCACCACCGGAGCCATGCGCTGGACACCGACACGACATCCGGTCCATGGCCTGCAGCATGGAGAGCACGCGGCCGCGACCCGACGCCATGCCGTAGAGTGAGCGGTCCTGCAGTACAGACGCCGCAGTTTCGGAGCACACTCCCAGCCTAAGCACCGCCTAACGAACTACCGTCCTGTATTGCTCAACTGTACAGCAGAGAACGCAGAGCTGGCACCGCGCCAAGGTCGACAACTTGGGACAAGTTGACGTCTAGCGCCAGGCGGGGCTGATAACGGCGGCAGGCTGGCGACGAGGTCAGCTCAGGGACGGCGACGAGCTGGCGACGAGGTCAGCTCAACGTCGGTGGCAGGCTGGCGGTGCGGTCAAATCAAGAGGGAACACGGGGTTGCGTGCCCCGCCCCCCCCCCCCCCCCCCCCCCCCCTGTATGCACCACTGGTCTGAACTTCTATTCTGGCAAAGCAACTATGATGATGCAGAGGAGTATCAACACAGCAACAGTGTATTACGTGCTTTCTTTCACCTAGACCAAATGCATCCACTTCGTGTCGTAGGACGCTTTTGCTAGTCTAAAAACGCATCATACTAAAAAAAACACTTGGCTGTGCTTAGGACCACATAAAAAAACAGTCGCGCTGCAGACCTAGAATGAGTATGTGAACTCTGTAGTCCTAAGCAGTGTGTCATTGGGATGCTCTTGTCGCCGCCGTAATAAAAGGTCAGATTTCAGAGTTGTCAATTTTTGTAAATTATTGGGGGGAGGGGCGAACCTAAGGTCCGACCACCCACCCACCCCCGCTTTTCCCTACTGGTTAGCTCACTTTACTCTCTCTCTCTCTCTATCTCTCTCTTCTCTCTTCTCTCTCTCTCTCTCTCTATCTCTCTCTCTCTTCTCTCTATCTCTCCTCTCTCTCTCTCTTCTTCTCGTCTCTCTCTCTCCCTCTCTCTCTCTCTCTCTCTCTCTCTCTCTCTCTCTCTCTCTCTCTCTCTCCTCTGTCTCTCTTTCTCTCTCTATCTCTCCTCTCTCTCTCTCTCTCTCTCTCTCTCTCTTCGCTCTCTCTCTCTCTCTTCTCTCTCTCTCTCTCTCTCTCTCTCTCCTCTCTCTCTCTCTCTCTCTCTCTCTCTCTCTCTCTCTCTCTGATTTTAATCTTCATATAATTAAAAAGTCTTTGATTTAAGCAGCTAGAAGTCATGCAGGGTTGGATCCAGGGAGCAGGCACTGGACGCACGCGTCTCTTCTGAGCGGCACGTGAAGGCACCCCCTTAGAGGCCACCTTAGGGCGCCGATGGCGTCCTTCTGTAGCGATCATGGGAGGCGGCACGCATTTTGGCCGTGGGGGACGGGGACGGGGTTAACCATGAGGGACGTAGGTCACCCCCATGTTCCAGAGCTTTTCACTTTAACCTCACAAGCCATTGCGTGTCTTATGGCGCCAGGTATGGGAAGTTTATTGCATCGCTTATCCGCTCAGCTGTTACGATTTGTGTCTTGTGATGAGAGCAACCACGACTTTTCGTTATGGGAGTGGCACGAGACGCCACTACGTAGCAAGATCAAGGAAGATAGTTTTTATGTCATGACCATCTTTTACCCACGTTTTTTGTAATATTCCAGCCAAAAACATTGGGGGACAAAGCCAACATGGGGAAGGGGGCAATTTAGCATGGGGGGGGGGAGTAAGGGCACTCGCAAAAGAAGACAAATCGTTACCCGTGTGAGATTTGCTCTTTGTCATTATTCTTCCACAAGCAAACAAAAACCTTTTGGAATCGGGTGCCCAGGCCAAAGTGTAGTTGCGGGGTAAAAATGCACAAAATATCACCTCACGAAGCTTCCATCACTGTAGATACACACATCTCTATACCAGTACATTATAAGACCAACTGGTCGAGCTGAAAATATTGCACTGTGCTGAGAAGAACCTGCGACACTACCAGCAATTTGTTTCTGTCGGAATGGAGCAACGGACGTCCTTCCACGTTAGGAAGGCGAGGGAATGACAGCTGGTTTGATTCTTTCCATTCACTCAATAACCACAGGGTCAGTGCCAAATTTTCAGAGGTGTGGTTCTCAGCCCCAGCCCCCACCCCGGTTCCCGCCCCTCCCCCCCCCCATGCCAAAGGTGCGACAACTGAAGATTGACAAGAAATTGACATAGCAATGCCCATTTACGAGAACGCTAGTTGCAAACGTGTGATTTCATAGCCATTGCTTTTTATTCAAGTGTTAAGATGGCTTTACGATCTCGCCTCCCTATCAAAAATTGGTGGGGCCGCCCCTGCCCACATGATCTCCAGCCATGATGGTGAACAAAATGTTCAAATAACGAAGATATGATGCGGACGTGCCATACGTTTATCCCGTGGGAGGTTGTATCAGTGAAGTATTTTTGTCCGTAGTATAGTTTGTGCAATCGCTCAAAGATAAAAGGCTAAGCCGAACTAAGAAATGCATCCGTATTGTATTGTTTTTGTATTGCTCCCGAGTTTCACGCGAAACGAGGATCAAGATTCAGCAGCGGACCGGTTCTGCCGGGCCGAGATCGCACCAGGGGCGCATCATACGCCTCACTGGTGATAGACCACGTTCGAAAAGCTGCGTGGGACCGCGCACGGTCCGGCTTATCAGACCCAGGGCAATACAACACCATCTGACCGTGCGGGCATCCAAACGGCGCCGCGCGGGTCCGCCCTCGCTGGAGGTGGGAACCGCGGCGCCAGCCTCCACGGCGTCGGAGCAGGGTGTGCGCGCAGCGAAGCCGCGCCTTTTCGTGGCGGATCGGCGAGCACCGTGGAGGCAAGGGCGGGATTAGAATCTGACCACGGGAGATTCGGAGATTCAGTGTTGGGCCGCTCCGGGCGGCGGGATTCCGGGCCTCGCGCGGCAGCCCGGTTACTGGCGGCTGCCACAGACCATTCCCGATGCGGGCCGCGCGACTGCCACGGGAAATTGCCAACTAGAGAGGGACCCCACCGCCTCCAGCGGGAGAGGGCATAGGCCTCAGATCTATCCACTTGCCTACACCCGCAACGCCGCAGCCCAAATTTGAGCAGCGTCCGAGCACACTAGGGCTCTCTCAAGGTCGTTTTCAGCATTGTTGTTGACGTACACGCGGAACTTCGGGAGTCTTCGGACAACTTCGAACGCGAACAACCGCTCCGGAACTGTATTCTAAATTGTTGTAATGACGTTCTCGAAATTCGGTAGCAACGAATCCCATCAGAGATCTGATCCTTACTCCAACTGCTTTGCTTCCACTCAGTGCTTTGATTGGTCAAAGGGAGAGTCGGCTGCGCATCCACGAATACGAATCACACCGATTGCGCGATGGCTATAATTGCGCCGAGTACGTCGCCATTTGTATTTGCACATGATTCGCGGTTTGTGTTAAAGGGACCGGTGTATTGCCGATAATTCGTCCATAGAGAGGTAATACATTCCCTCAGTCTCGCATTCACACTTTGTAAACGGTTGGCTCGAGTGAGAGTGAGGAAGACTGCAGGTAACACTGGTGCTAGCCTAAACGCAGACGTTTGTTGGATTCTTTAGAGTTTCGCCTTTAGGCGTCGGTCCAGGTGGGTTACATCCTGCCTGGAAGTTCCCCTGAAGTGTTGTTAACATTATATCGCTTGTTGGCTGGCAGGAATACCTTTTGCTTATGGGAATTTATGCATTTTGTGTCGCGCGGTTGGGAGACTTTTGGCCATTGGCACACTCTTGAACTGGCACATGCTTGGTGTGACCAAATCATATTTTGGGGCCATAATTTGAAATACTGTTGATAGTTTTTCTGCAGTACTATTTCACACAGCTAACTCCATGTTGTTGAAAGGTTGTATTCACCATGAAGTCAGGGTATTGCAATGTCATGGCTCAAATGGATGCTATTCTCAGTTGGACATCAAGCATGCTTAAAAAGTGACATGGCAGTTGTTGTGGATCAGGCTATGTTATATTGTGCTGGTTGTGAGAACATGATATTTGGATATTGGTGCAGCACCCATGGGGAAGTTAGAATAAGAGGTTTACCTTGTTTGCAAACCATGTCTGATTTGTCAATAAGATGCTTTGAGCACCTTTGATACTTCTCAAAACACAGTAACCAGTTGCCCCATGCAGCACAACTCTGGTGTTGAACTTACCACACCCAAAAATTGAGTTTATCATTTTATAGCCATGCTCATCATATGCATTTAACTTGCTGGACTCCATCCAGCTGCACTGGATATGAGTCTAAGTGCATGAAGTATGTTATCTAACCAGGAGCAAAGGGCTATGTGGCAACTCTCCAAAGTAGGCCCACCTGGGGTGGGAAACCATTTTGTTGCACAGTGTGCCACATAGCACTCATCAACTGAATGGTATTGTCCTAAACTGGGCAGCAGGCCTAATTACATTGACAGTATCCACTTTGCAAATGATCTGAATGTAAAACCATTTGTGTAAACCCTCAGAATATTTATTTTCAAATTGAAAGAAAATCTTGATAACTTTGTCCAGTGAATGTACACACTTAACCAGTTCCAATATTTTGTTTTCAAACAACACTGCAGTTTTGTATCTATTGTGTAAAAGGAACATAGAAACCACAAATATTGAATTGTGTAGTCACCTTCATTTTTGAAGCATTTTGTTTCAAAGATGGTTACATAGGCTCCATAAATAGGTGTGCAGCTCAGTAAGGATATATTGCCATGGATACAAGAGATGCAATCATGAACTTTGGCATAATGGTCTCTGAATTAGAGAGTACTGTACACAAGATGCGTAAATGTCCCATTTAGTATACTCATCCATACCCAGTACCAACTGAGCAAGCTTCTAAGGTGACTTATGTTTTGAAAGAGTCTTAAGGAACTAACCACAAATAGTATACTAAGACTGCCAAATCTTCACTAAGAATCCTCTTGCAGCTTTAATGGAAGGAGGCTGTTGCTTGAGGTGCAGATGTAGGTGTTACTCCATGTAAAAATTTGTCTTTTAAATTCCTCTGCAGTGTTCAGCAATTCTGCAAGCTGTTCAGCAATGCTTGTTTATGCAGTGTGTATTGTATGTTTATTCATTGCATTATGATATGTGTTGGGTATTGTAAAATTCCCTGAAATAGGAAACATCATAGTGGCAGAATAGCTGAGACCATCGCATCATTGTATTATTCTGATGGTCATGTGATCTGGACTGTAATTCCAGTAGTGAGTCATGAAAACACAACTTGGTATTTCAACATAATAAAAGTATCATGCCATGCCAGTATGTTTCTTGTATCCCTACAAGTATCATGTTGCATTATAATGAAAATGTTGGATGTACCAGAATGACACAAAAATGTCAAATTCACCACCACAAGTATGTAAGTGGCCTATAAGCAAAGCAAGTGGGCATTGTTACCACATCATTGTCCATGTTCCAGCTGTGCAGTAACCATGTTGAGCCCAGCTGAGGTGGAGAAGTTCAAGCTGTTCATCAAGGCATGTGAGGCTGACCCGGCCATCCTGCACATGCCCGAGCTGGACTTCTTCCGCGCCTACCTGCGGAAGCTGGGTGCCCAGCTGCCGGACCCGCCGGCTAAGGGCTCCGGTGACACCTCCACCCCAGCCCCGCCGCCGCCGCCGGAGCCGGAGCCGGCGCCGGCCGATGAGCCGGAGCCCGAGCCCGAGCCGGAGGAGGAGCCAGAGTCCGAGGAGAGCGACATCGACATCGATAACTCAGGCGTGCTCGGTGAGAGGCCTCGACGCTGAAGAAACGACGGGGGCACCGCTGACGTCTGCTGACGTGGCTTCGTGGAGCATTGGTAGAATCAGGGCCTTATTTTCAAGCATGGGCTCTGGCAGCTGAATTCCTGTAGCTTGCTTGGCGAAGGCCAGCGCCAGGAAATTTGCAGAAGCCTGCACGGTGCCAGCACTCCGACTCTGTGTCGTTGCCATGCTGCCGCTCCGACCGTGGCCGTGTCGCTGTTGCGTCCGTGTGGACCGCTGCGGTGTCGCCTTTCTGACGCCCCGCCCCCCCCCCCCCCCTTCCCCGTAGAGCCGGAGATGGACGAGCCGCAGCCGATGGGCGACTCGAGCAAGGCGGTCAGCGACGAGGACATGGAGGCGGCCGGCGAGAAGCGCGCCGCCGCGCAGGCCGCCTTCTGCGACGGTGACTTCGGCAAGGCCGTCCAGCTCTACACAGAGGCCATTGAGCTTAACCCGGGTGAGTGGCCGCCAGCAAACATCATACAGAGTGTGTACGTACGTAGCCTCTGTGCACATCATTCTAATCAGGAGTGCATGTAGTTTGAAGTTCTGGAACAAGTACTGGTGATATGAGCAACGGGTTTCGTAGTGGCGGCACGCAGAGAGGTAAACAGAAAGGAAAAAGGTTCTGACACCTTCTGTTAACTGGTGAAGAAGCCCTGATGACAAGTTATGATTCAGTAACAAAACCTGTCACTGCTTCTTGGTTGTCTGACGTCATGCTTATCTTTGTTAACCTTTAGTTTGTGTGCATGATGTTTTATTGACATTTTGTAAACCCTGCAATTCATCGGATCAGTAAACAGTGACACCATAGAAGACCCGCTCCTGTCCTCCGTTACGCCCGTGGCCGCCTAGACCCGGCGGTGCTACCCGCCTCGGAGAGCGTTTGACCTTCCCCTCTCGCAGGCTCGGCGCTGTTCCACGCCAAGCGCGCCGCCTGCTACCTCAAGATCAAGAAGCCGCTGGCGGCCGTGCGAGACTGTGACAAGGCCATCCAGATCAACCCCTGACTCGGCTGCTGCCTACAAGTTCAGGGGACGCGCCAATAGGTCAGTGCCAAATCCAGGGGAACCTGGGGGAGGGGTGGAGCAGCATTACAAAATTTATCTGGTGGAGTATCCAGTATGTCAATGTAAATTCATGCTACCAGAATCCTGACTCTCCGGCGGCCTCCACCCGCACTTGGTTAGCGCTAATCCGTTGCCTTTTGACTCGGAATCCAGGCATCAGACCTGTCCGGCCCACTTGCCAAGCCTGAGGCGCTTAGATGCTGGGATGACCCCGGCCCGATCCCATGTTGATTGCCTGATTTTGAGCAAGACGAGGGGCAACAGGCAGTAAATGTAAGTCGATAGGTGGTGTAATACCATGAATAAATATCGACATCCCTGACAACCAAGTGGAAAAATATTGAAACACGGGGGGGGGGGGGGGGAGAAGGCTGCGTCCGCGCCGTGCCGAGACTGTGTTGTGTTTGAACACTTCGCGGTAGCCGGGAGTGTTTCCTCTCATTTGTACTTGTTGGCGCGGTGAGACTGCTCCCTGTCCGCTATAATTGTGCCGCTATAATTGATATAATTAAATCCGCTATAATTGTGCCGCAGTCAGCGTGGCCCGACTGACCCCAGCGGGCATGGGACGGCGCTCCGCCTGCTCCGTCTGGGGTCGGAGGCTGTGGATCAGTGACACTAGCAGTGAACGGTCGTCCCTTATCCCCGGCGTGATCGAACGGTGACCATGCACCTGTGCCGTGGCACTGCCGCGCTGCAGACCTGCCTCCCTTCGTCCAGCCCCTGCCTGCCCTCTTCGAGTCCGTGTCCCCGCGTGGTTGTCGGGGGGGGGCCGCGCCGGCTGACGCGCCGCCGCGGCCGCCGCAGACTGCTGGGCCGCTGGGAGCTGGCCGCCCGGGACCTGCGCACCGCCTGCAAGCTGGACTTCGACGAGCAGGCCGACGAGTGGCTGCGGGAGGTGACGCCCAACGTGAGTAACGAGACGGGCATACTGCAGGAGATTGTCGACGGCCTGCTCACGCTCATCATGTGAGCCTGCGCCGCGCCGTGCGGCCTCCCGCGCCTCCCCGCGGCCCCCGGCGGGACGCGGGACTGGCCGGGGCACAGTGCTGTCGTGGTTGTAGGTGGAGGGAGGCGCCCGGTCGCGCTTCCTGCGCCTGGAAGGCGTGGTACGGCGGGATAGGTCCGTATGGCGCTGTACAGCGCGGGTGGGACGGCGAAAGTGTGGAGGACAGTTTTGAAAGGCATCGTTATGTTATGACAGCCGCCAAGGAGGTTTTGTATCTCCGGCTTTCGGAAAGAGTTAGGATCTTGATTTACGGCATTTTTACAACTTTATTTGCCTCGTGAGGCTCAGACGCACTGCTACCTGATACAGGGAGTGTGACCGACCATGGCACCCAGTTCAAACGTATAGTCCAAGAGAAACAACATATTACTCAGCGCTGGGAGCGCTCTGAACAATACGGTCAACATCTTCACAGCAATTTATGCAATCCAAAGTTTCCGAATAATTGTGAACAAAGCAGATGTCGTATTGGGTTGAGCAAGGGTCACTTCATGACCAGTAATCATCAGTTCCTTTGTAGTGATCCTGTGTTTGTGCTCACGTCAGCAAAGCTTTCGTGGTGTGCGTACTTGCATTGTTTTCCAATTTCCCCTTGTTTTCCCTGTACAGCTAAGACGGCTGGTTGTTTAGCCGATGTACGTAGCAAAAGAGCATTGATCTTTCACACAGAGAAACGGTAGTAGATGGTCCTGCTTCTGATTTAATATAAAGTTTATCTTGTATTTCAGGATATTTCAAACTCATATTGTAGCTTGGCACATATATTTGAACACAACGTAACCTTGACATGAGGCACTAGAAGCTGCAAAAGCTTTTCGTCGTGGTCAGTTGGTGATATATACATTTCCAAGCTCAACTGCCACGTTATGTGATACTTTACGGTCATTGTATGATTACTCGCATCCCCCGTTTTATGGAGAATTGTCAATAAGCTAGCCTTTACCATGGGCTGTTGCATTCGGAATTCTCTCTTTGCTTCGCTTTTGCTGTCTTTATAGCTCGCCATCATAGTTTATTCGCTCGTGAAACGGGTCGAATTATTTATCCAGTGACAATACTTTGCTAGCGCGTGTGTCGATGTTTAGCACGAAGCCTGTGCCTTAGGTTTACAAGGATGAATGCTATATTCTCGGAAGTGGGGCATGATATTTCATGACTTCACATAAATATGAAGTTGATGTCTTTGGGGTTAGTTCGGACTAGCGCGTGAAAACGCGGGGCCGGCGACGGCGGCCGGGCGCTCTGCGACGTCCCGGCCGTCTGGCGAGGCCCGGCCGGCGCCTGCTGTAACACTGCCGTGTCGCGCCGCCACACTGTTCACCTGGTCAAAGCCCGAATACACCGTCAACCGGATCGGGTGTATTTGTGGTGGGATTCGCGCGGGACACGTGTCGAACGTTGAGCTACATCAAAGAACACGGCTCTACAAAAGGTCCGGCCATGGCCGCCGCGGCAGCGCGGGCCGCTGTCACCCCTCTTCACTACTGGCACGCGCTCTGGCCAGTCACACGGGGGCGGGCGCCGGGCGCGGCCGGCGCGGCCCGGCGCGGCCCCGGCCGGGCGCCCGTCTCTCTCCAGTGAGGTGTCGCGCGGCGCGGCGCGCCTCGCCCGCCCGGGCGGCGGCAGTGCTCTCTCTCCGCGGTCGGGAATGTCGCCCGACGCTGGCGCCGGCTGCGGCGCCGTCTCTAGGCGGCGGCGGCGCGGCCGGCCGCCTCAGCCGCGCCGGCCCGCCGCCGTCCCCCGCTCCACCATCTTGCGGTACTTGCCGAGCAGCTCGGGCAGGTCATAGCTGATGGCCACGTCCAGCTTGTCCAGCGGGCAGCCCTTGAAGTAGGTGCACGTCGAGGCGAGCGTCGGGAAGTCGTACAGCGGGTGCAGCTGGAACGCAAGGCGGCCCGGTTAGCAAGGGCTGCCGCATGCCGACGGGCCTGCTACGGTCGGTTGTGAACGGCGCGCGTGGCCTATAGCATGACAGGATGTAAAGCTGTTTTCCCCATAGGGACTTCTTTGCTTTGTTGACTCGTGAGAGAGAGGTTTCGCATTGGCGCACGACGCTTAACGTAATTCGCCGAAAGCATTCGACATCCGTGTGGCGGCCATCGAATGCCGGCGTCTTTCCATTACATCCCCACGTCGCGGACGATGCCATGGCCCGCGTGCGCCGGACTGACCGTGAAGAAGTCCTCGTACACCTCCGGGTCGGGCAGGTCGTAGCGCGAGATATTGGTGACCCGGCTGATGCCCTCGTAGATGTGGTACTTGTGCGGGTTGGAGACCACGTCGTCGGCCAGCTTTTTCTTGTTGCTGAGGAACGTCTGCTGGTTCAGGAAGGTGGTCACGTAGCAGTCGACCATGCGCGCATGGTTGCGCACGCGCACCTGCGGGGCAGAGAGGAGCGGTTAGAAGACGGCGGTGCGACTATTGCAACACGGTGTGCCCACGCCCATTGTGCCACTCCACCACCTGAGTTCAAATCATCACCATGGTAACGCAGCGCGGTTTACATCTGGTTTCCGAATTTCGCCGCTAGTCTTGCTGCGCTTCCCCATCCCCCGACTTCGTGGGTTCACCGAGTCAAGAAGACCGGCGGTGACCCAACCGCTCGTGTGCGGCGTGACCCGACCGGCGGTGACCCGCGGCGCCGCACGCCCCCCCCCCCCCTGACCCGTCCTGCGCGCCGGCGGCCGCTTACCGCGTGTCGGCGCGCCAGGGCGATCCTGTTGTCGACGCGGCGTGACATGGAGTCGGCGATGTCGCGCAGGATGGCGTCCTCCTGACTGCGGAAGAGCTCTGCCGGCGCGCCTGCCCGGTACGGCTGGCTGATGAAGCTGCCCGAGTAGATGGGCGGCGGCGTGGCCGAACCGATCAGCGGGCTCAGCGACCAGATCAGGCCGCCCTGCACCGTCAGCAGCTGCTCGGCCGGCAGCTGGTCCGCCTTGTTCAGGATGATGCGCACCTGACGGTGGCGCGCGCGGTCAGCGCCGCTGTTGGACGTCGGCGGAGGTACCAACGCCAGCGGCTCTGTCAGGCCGGGAGAAATCACGCGGATAGAGAAGTCGCGAGGAATCACGCGGATAGGTGAAAGGCCGGGGCGCTTGTGGAAGTGCGGATTGTACAGAAATGGTCGAACAGGGAAATACGGCATTGTGCTGGGCGTGGACGTTCAACGGGCGAAACGCACGCTCCTGTGCCATGCAGGACAACGCCAGTGCCCGTCTCCCCTTCCCTTCCCCCCCCCCCCCTGGCCAGCTCACCTGATTCTCCCGACCCTTGAGCTGGTCCAGCAGGCTCTCCATCTCGACACCGATGTCGAGATGGTGCGGGTCGAACACGACGAAGATGATGTCGGCGCGGTCGATGAACCACTGGCAGACGTCGTTGAAGGGATATATGCGGCCGTACTGGCGGCCCTCCATGATGCCCGGCACGTCCACCACGTTAACCTGCCGTCCGCGGGAGGGTCAGACACGGGCCCCGAGACGACGCCGCGGCGTCGGCTGGCCGCACGCTGCGCCCGGCGTCCGGTCAGAGGAACAAAAGCGATTCCGGAATTCACACCGGTTCAGTGTGGGAACTTAACGTACGCGCCGTGCTCGCCACGACTTCTCGCCGTTGGAGAGGGACGTGGAAGCCGCTGCAGGCCCATCTGGATAGCGATCGGGTCGGGTTCACCGCATCTCACCGACTCGTTCACCGGCTCGTGCAGGACGATCGGTGTTGGAAGAGCCAAATCCCTTGCCACCCGGCGAATGCAGGCTGCTCATGCGATTCAGAAGGGTTTCTGAATGGCTCTGGGGTTTCTGAAGGGTTTTTGAATAGTTTCTCGGCAGACTGGGCGCCTGGCCGGTGACGCGTAGATGCCACTCTGCGTGACGAGTCTCGGGTGCAGTCTTCGGCGGCCGTGCTGAGGGCACAGACGACACTTGCTACTCTGCGTAACGAGTCTTGGGTGCAGTCTTCGGCGGCCGTGCTGAGGGCACAGACGACACTTGCTACTCTGCGTAACGAGTCTCGGATGCAGTCTTCGGCGGCCGTGCTGAGGGCACAGACGGCACCTGCCACTCTGCGTAACGATTCTCAGATGCAGTCCTCGGCGGCCGTGCTGAGGGCACAGACGGCACCTGCCTAACAAGCTACTGGAGAAGTTTGTATTGAACCTTCCTCAGCAACCGATTAGGCGGATGACGCCTGTGGGCAGTGCGAACTGTCTGCCGACTCGTCCGAAGGCGCCGAAGATGTGGCTGGCCGGGAGCGAGCCGTGATCACTCTTCGCTTGGTGCTGGCTCCCATCCCTCGGATCAACACACGTTGGTTCAGATGCCGGCCGTGTCAAAAAGACCTACCTGCGCTCTGAGGACGTTCTCGGCCGGACGCGGCGCCGGTTACCTTCTCGAGGAGCCGGTTCTTGAGCTGGCGGCCGGACAGCCGCTCGAGGAAGGCCTCGCCGAACTTGAGCAGGCCGGAGAACTCCCAGTGCGCCGTCACCTGAGCGCCGTCCTGCCGCTCGTCCTGGTCGCCGTACGTCAGGATGCGGAACTGGCCGCTGCCTGCCGACCGCGCCGCGCCGTCAGCGCACCGGTCAGCCGCCGCCCGCTCAGCGCCGCCCGGCATCGCGGCACGCCCCCGCCGAGGTCCGGCCGGCTGTCAGCTGACGGCTGCCGCGCGCAATGTCGAGGGGGTCAAAGTAACGCGCGTGGCGGCTCGGGGCTTATTTGCGCCGACGTTGTGCTGCTGGGCTGGACAGGAGCAAAGACTCAGGCAGCCTCGGCCTCGGCCTCGGCTGATATCGTCACACGGCCAGCGCGGCGGCGAAACGCACCTGGCATGGCTGTGGTGCGGGTGGCGTCCGTTCCTAGCAGGTAGTTGATCATGGTGGACTTGCCGCTGTTCAGCTGGCCCAGGAACAGGATCACCGGCTTAGCGAAGATCTCGGCGTCTGCGGAAGGGGAGCATTACGACCCGAGCGCATCGCCGCCCACGCATGCGGTGCAAGCTGATGTTCCGCTTGGTCATGACTAGGCGTTGAGTTTGTCTTCCTTGATTGTCTGTTTTAATGGCGGCTACCACGCCTATGACACGATACCCGTCAAGAATCATCGGCAGCAGATAACTGCATTGGCACACCTCGGAATACTGTCACGTCCATTGCAATTTAATGTTTCCGTGAGCGAGACACAGCCGTAACGGTCGGCGCGTGCTGCAAATAGATGATCATAACCGTGGGATATGTCTTCATCCCAGTTGTTCTCCCACTGGATGTGCGGGACGGTCTGTAGTCCGGGGCCCCGCTCACCGGCCAGGGTGCGCGCGCTGACGGAGTTGTACTTGTAGGTGTCCTCGAGCGGCTTGATGGCCGTGTCGGCCGCGCGCTTCAGTTCGCGCAGCGCGTAGTTGGTAGCGTCCTCGACGGGTCGGCTGAAGGGCGCGTGCAGCCCCAGCAGCTGCTCCACCTCGTGCCGCGGCCGCGCTGTTGGACTTGCCGTCGGCGCTGGTGCTGGGGATGCAGATGGGACTGGAGCGGGGGCGGGAGCCGGTACAGTCGGGGCGGGAGCAGCCACTGGAGGTGGAGCTGGAGCAGCTGTGGGAGGCGGCGCTGGGGCGGCGGTGGGTGCCGGAGCTGGCGCCGGTGCCGGCGCTGCTGCTGGGGCGGCGACGGGCGGTGGCGTGGAGGGAGCTGGCGGCGGCGACGGTGGTGGCTGCTGTCGCGTGGCCGGAGCGGGGGCCGACTTCCTCTGCTCTCGCTCTGAAAGGTCGGGCTGAAGTCAGCTTGCGTTGGCCGCACTCCGAACCCCGTAACGATTGACGCCATTCTGGGTCCGGCTGCGAGCGTTCAGCGTTATAAACTGCGAGCGGCGTGTGGCGTTATGATAACACGGCCAGCTCAAGGCCCCGGGACGGACGCCAGACTTGTCGGAACGCCGAAGCTCGGACTGTCCCGATAACCGACCTGTCCCTGCGGGGTCGTCCGGCGTCGCAGCGTCCTGGGCGATGGCGACCGGTGGCGGCGTGTGCTCCACTGAAAGCCAGACCGCCATCAAAGCACAGAAGCCAAGCCATGCGCAAGTCGTGTGCCAGGCGTAGTGTTGTCGGTTATCGTGGCGTTAGCGATCAGCCCAGGCTAGCGTGCGCGTCCTGACAGTGGCTACGAAGCGACAGAGCACTGAACCGTCGGGGCTGGCCTCGACCGACGTTCTCGGCGACGCAGCGATGGCCAGCTCTGGAAGCGCGATGACAGAAGCGGCCCCGAGGTGAGTGGGGCGGTGCTGTTTGGGCCCGGGAAGGGCTAGAGGCGGGCTCGTGGGACCCGGGAGGGTCGAGGGTGGGACCGATGGGGCCCGGCGTGCCACCGCGTCAGTTACCCGGCGTCGGCGGCGGCTGCTGGGCTCGCGCTGCTCGTTCGGGGGGCTCGACGGGTTCGGTGGCGGCGACAGTCGGCTCGGGCTCTGCAACACGAGGCGTCCGTCGGTCCGGCGCGCTCGGCCCCGGTCAGAGTGTCCACTCCGGGCCCCGGCGCTGCAAGCTAGTCTATGATGTATTGAAATGGCCCCGGGAAGAAGTTGTAATGTCACATGAACAGCTAGAGCAGCGCTTCTTACAAGTGGAAGAGATCTTAAGTGCTTCAGCTTGGCAAACATTAACTATATGGGTAAATGTCGTGGGTCAGTGGCATTTTACTCCGGGACATACCGTTTTCTGCACTGTCCTCGTCTTCGTCCTCGTCCTCCTCCTCATCATCATCCTCATCATCCTCTTCAGCATCAGTGTCCACGTGGTCTTTGTCGTGGGACTCGTCGTCTTTGCGGTCAGTGGCGTCCGTCTTTTGCTCCTGGTATTCATCAGCGTCACTGTCATCGTCAGCTTCGTCATCATCATCGTCGACGGTCTCATCATGTCCATCATCATCTTGGTCACCGGCAGGGACTCCCGGTTGGTCTCTGTCGATGTTAACCTCGGAACCAGCATCAGCTACCTCGTCTTCCTGCGCAGCCCGAGCGCCTTCCCCCTCAGCCTGAGTGTCCTGCTCAGCCTGAGTGTCTTCCTGCTCAGCCTGAGTGTCCTGCTCAGCTGGAGTGTCCTGTGGGTGGGCCGTGTTACCCGGAACAGACTCCTCTCGTTCGTCAGCATCTCCAGGGCCTTCCTCGTCTTCGTCTGCTTCAACATCTGCATCGTCAGCCTCATCTTGATCACCGACTTCATCATCGTCGTCGTTGTCATCGTCATCATCGTCGCCGTCGTCATCGTCATCGTCGTCATCGTCGTCGGTCTCGACGGTGACGTCAGTGTCCGGGGCGTCTGCTGTGGCCGCGGGGGCTCCGCCGTCGCCGTCGCTGGCGGCGTCCTTCGCCTCGTCTACGGCTACACATGCGGAGGTGCAGGGCGTGTCAGTTGAACCGAGAGGCACCGCCGCAGGCGGCATACTGCCACTACCCAGACAGTGGGCTGAGTCCGCTAGTAGGTTTGGAAATCTAAGGAACGACTAGCTTTCGAATTTCTTAAATCCATTCTCGATCTGTGGTGTATTGCATGTTGCGCGCACTGATCCGTTTACCCTGTTTCGGGAAAGTCAATTCATGACGAGAGATTCGAAATGCATTCGTTTGTTTCCGAACATTAATGGCGTACGCCAAAGATGGTTTAGTAAAATGTGAAGCTACGCTGCGAAGCAGGGGGAAAATCCGTGGGCCCAAAACATGTGCAATGCCATGGTCCTCGGCATGAGAACTTCGAGCTTAGTCAAGCATCAGCGTGGCTGTTGTAGTGCAAGCTTGAGGCCTCTCGTATCAGTATCCATGCAGTCTATGCAGCACGACATCAGCAGCAGAATGCCGAGGCGTGGCAAGAGTTAGCGTCGGTGCTACGCTGCACTACCGCTCAGCGCTGCCCCGGCCGGGAACCGCGCGGCACGTCACCGCTCGGAGCCGGGCGACCTCTCACCTGGCGGCGGGTCTCCGCGTGCGAGCGCCTCCTTGTGGCGGCGCAGGTCCTCCTGCCGGGCGGCGATGGCCGCGTTTCGCTCGGCCAGGTAGCGGCTCTCGGCGAACAGCTCGTCCCAGATGCGGCCGATCAGCGAGCGCTGCGGCGCGGCGGTCGGTTCGTCCAGCTCGTCCAGCCGCTCCAGTGCCTCGGCCGGTAGCTCGCCGCGCTCCACCTTGACCCGCACCAGGTCGCGCTGCCGTTGGGCCATGGCGCGCCGGCGCAGCTCCATCAGCCGGCCCTCGGAGAAGATGGCGTCGCGCAGGCGCGTCAGCGGGCCCGGCCCCGCCGCCGGCTCCTCCGGCTCGGCCAGGTTGTCGAGCGCGTCCGGCGGCAGCTCGCCGCGCTCGATTTTGGTGCGCACCAGGTCGCGGTGGCGGGCAGCCAGAGTGCGCCGTCGCAGCGCCATCTGCCGCCGCTCGGGGAACAGCAGGTCCCAGAGACCGCCGCCCTCCGTCGGCACCGCGGCCGTCGGGCTGGCCAGTCGCTCGTCGTGCAGCGCCTCGGCCGGCAGCTCGCCCCGCTCCACCTTGACCCGCACGAGGTCGCGGTCACGCGCCGCCATCGCCTGGTCGCGCAGCTGCATGTAGTTGACCTCGGCGAAGAGGATGTCGTACAGCCAGCTGCCGGAGGAGGGCACCTCCTGCGCGCTCGCCGAGACGGCCCAGGTGGCGGCGGCGGCTGGCCGCGCCTTAGGCGCTGCCTGCAGGACGGCCGGCACCTCGGGCAGCTGCGTCGGGGCCTCCTCAACTGCGGGGGTGGGCGACTGTCAGGGGACTGGCCGCCAACAAATCACCACCGGACGTTATCAGCCGAGGAAACCGTATTCTGGCGGTAGACCAGCCACCAGCACGGCACTCTGAGAAGTGATCAGCCACGGACAGCTGACTGGAGATTTAATCCGCCCTGGCAACTGGCCCTTGGAATGTTGAACAGCATGGGGCAGGTCACTCTTGGAGATCGCACCATGCACAACGGCCATATTCCTCGATCCCAAAGCTTGGGACTGACGCAGAGATTCGAAGCTCATGACAGGTGCCGGCCGTCGCCGGGCCATCGTCTGCCGCCGCGCGCCGCGCTGGCTGTCACTCACCGACCGGCTCGCCACGCTCCAGTTTGACCCGGCGCAGGTCGGCCTCGCGCGCCGCGATGGCCGCGTCTCGCTCGCGCCAGTAGCGCGTCTCGGCGAACAGCTCGCCCCAGACGCGGCCCAGCAGCGACGGCTGCTGCTGCTCGGCGGCCGACGGCAGCGGCTGGTCCAGCGCCTCGGGCGGCAGCTCGCCCCGCTCCACCTGGCCGGGGTTACGGACAGCTAGTGGAGTCCTGACGGCTTGTTAGTGTCGGCGTGCAAATACACGGCGGCGGTGTTGGTTGAGATGTTCATGCTTTCAGTGTTTTAACGTCCGGACGTAAACAAGTCGGGTGAGTCTTTGATCTCGTGAGGCGATTTGGGTCGTAACGCCGCTCGTAACACCCACGACAAGAGCCAGCTGAGCTGGTCACGGCTGGCACTGATGACCACACGGGGGGCCGCAGTCGCTGCCACGCACTGACCTTGACCCGAACCAGGTCACGCTGGCGGGCGGCGATGGCGGCGTCGCGCTGTCGCATGTAGCGCGACTCGGCGAACAGGATGTCGGAGAGCCAGTTGAGCGGGCCGGAGGGGCCGGCGGCGCGCGTCTCGCACTCCTCCCGCTCACGCTCGATGTACGGCCGACATTCCTCTCGACTCGGCTCGGGCCCGGCTGAAAGCGGAGCGGACGCCGTTAGCGGGAGGCGGACGGCGAGCGGGGTCGGGTTCCCCGCTGTTGTGGCTGATGTTGCCAGAGCGGCTGTCACAACAGCTAGCTACACAATCGCGCCTTCGCGGCGTCCTGATACGCAAACAGTCGATCGGGCGGGCGTCGGACGGGCTGCAGCTGGCGTTCGTGGCGTGGCGCTGCCAGCGCCGTGTCCTGTCGCCGCGCCCGGACCAGGTGCGTCGCGTCGCTCGCGTGCCCCGCCATGCCGAGCGCGAGAATGCCAGTCCGCCGTGCAAAGTGCACCATCAGGATCGGCACGCGCGCCCGTCGTCCCGAGCCGTGATTGGCTGCCAGCGGGCGGCACGCGGTCTATGCGGGCCGCCGGGCCGGCCGCGCCACGCGCCTTGTCAGCCAGGTCAGTGGGGCGTGCCCTGCCCCACAGGTGGGCCTGCGCGGTCACGGGACACTGGGAGCCGCCGTGTAACACAGGCCGACGCCAGGGATGGCTGCGATGACGCTGATCCTATGTTACAGGGTTGGACGGCGCAACTCTCCTAGTTTCAGTGATGAATAGTGTCGCTGGCGCAGGTTAAAACCACTGTGGAGGCTGAGGAAGGTGCTGGCTGATTTCTAGGCAGCTGTGCGAGGAAAAGGACACGAGGAGTTTCTTCGGGGGAGGAAGTCACGCACAACTCCACAATGACCTGTCGGATGCTTAACTTTGGAGGTTGTAGCCGGGCGATTGTTTGCCGATGAAATCTCCCGGAGGGAAGATGTCTGCACCTGACGCCGCGAGTGGGCCGGGGGGCAGGCGATTTGGCCACCGGTGGGGAGCCGCTGACACCAGCGGGCCGCCGCCGCAGCAGCAGACGCCCCGCCGCACTCAGCGAGAGGGCTGGAGTCGCGTGACTTGGCTTCCGTTCAGACCCGGCGCCGCGCTGTGACCTCGCGTTGCGCGCTGATGGCCCCGGCCGGAGGGGGGCGCGCGTCAGCGCCGGGCGGGCCTCGGGCGGCGACGCCGGCCGTCGCCGGCCGCCTGGATGGCAGACCGCGGAGGAATCCGCACGGCGCCGGCTTCCGCCCGCTGGCCGGCGGCCAGACGGCGCGGTCGCGTCACTTGGCAGTGCGCAGCGCGCGCGGGCGGCACCTGTACGCCGGGATATATTACGGCCGGTTTGTCATCTGTCAACGCTCTCGGTAGTATTTATACCGGTGAGGGCTCCGTCGACCGCCGTCGGCCGCCTCTGTTGCCGTGTCCCCGAACGCGACGCGCTTGTGGTGCGGGCAGAGACGGCGAGATGGGACTCAGACGGAAGCTGGCCTTGATGCCGGCTGCTCAGGCGAATTTTGGCATTGGCCCATCGTGCTGGAATGTGACGTACGACTCGCTGCTAGTGGACTGAGGTGTGAGAAGCGAGACATATGAATCGTGTCAGTTGGACGCCTGTCGCCCTGGAGCACTCTGATGCCAGCCAGATGTGTCTCGATTCGCGGGCAGCAGCGACTCAGCGTCTTAGCGCTGAGTCTGCCGGTGGCGTGCGTGGACGGGGTGCGTGACCTGTACTCTGACTCGGGACCGCGGCCGACCGCACACCGGGCTCTCCCCCCTCGAGCACCGTCTGGCGGCCGGTCGGGACGGCAGCCGGCTCCGACACCGGCCGTCTCCGTGGACCGACGTCAGCTGTCCGAGGGCTCGGCGCCCGGCCGCCGCCGCCGCCGCCGCCGCCGCCGCCGCCTGCGCCTCGTCCCGCGCGCGCCCGCCGCTCGCCTGCCTCTGGCCGCCGGCGGCCGACCGTCGCCTGGAGAGGACGCGACGGCCGCCGGCGCCGCCGGCTAATTGGTGTAAGGAGTCGCGCGCCGATCGCGCTTTATTCTGGTCTCCTGAACGACATTGAGGCGGCGGCCGGCCGGAATTTGGCAGCGGCGGCTGCCAGCGCTGCGAGAGCGCCGTTGTTGTCAGGCGTGCAGATCGCGGCGCTCTCTCTCCCCTCCCGCCCCTCCTCACCTCTCTCCCGCACGCCTCGCCTGCGGCGTCTGGGCTGGAGGGCTTCAGGGGCACCGAGCGCGCTCATCCGGACTCGGTGGTGTAATGACGCCGTCAAACTCCAGCCGATAGTTTCAGTTCACGGCTGCGATTATATCGAAGTTCTTTTCATCGGGTGGTTTTGGCCCTGGACGATCGCGCTACATCGCGCTTAATTGCCGCTCTTGTTTTTCATCGCCGATTTATGCGGCGATATTTCGTGGCCGTTTTGGCACCGTGCCAGCGCTGGACAGTTGCAACGGCGCGCAGGAGACTGGGTCGGAGGCGCTCACCGCATCCGGCACGCGCTTCGTTGTCCGTGGAGCGCCATGACGGGCCGGCCGCGGCTCGGGAGTCAGCGAGCCACTGATGCGCCGTCTCTACCTTGCAGACGGTGGCTGGTGCACTCCCGGGCCCGGCCGGCCCAGGGCCCGGTCCGCCGCCCGCCGAGTCCGCCGTCGCCGCCGCCGCCGCTGCCGCTGTCGTCGTCCCGGCGCCGCCGGCCAGCGGCCGCCGCGGCAGCATGGCCAAGCTGTACCAGTGCTCCGAGTGCAGCAAGGCCTACTCAAAGGCGCAGTACTTCCACCGGCACCTGCAGCGGCAGCATGGCCTACGCGTGGAGGTGGCGCCGCCGCGCTGCTCCGTCTGTCAGCGGGTCTTCTCCTCGCGCCAGGCGCTCGACACGCACTGGCGCATCCACAGCGGCGACTACCCGTTCGCGTGTGAGCGTTGCGGCCGCCGCTTCCGCCAGCGCCAGCACCTGGACGACCACGCGCGCACGCACACGGGCGAGCGGCCGTTCGTGTGCACCGAGTGCGGCCGCGCCTTCGCGCAGGCGCAGACGTACAGGAAGCACCGGCTGGTGCACACGGGCGAGCGGCCGCACGGCTGTCCAAGATGTTCGCGTCGCTTCACACGCGCCGACAAGCTGCGCCGGCACCTGCGCTCGCACAGCCCGGCGGCGGCCGAGCAGCCGGCCGCCCAGCTGATGGTTAAGGAGGCGGACCAGGACGAGGACGTACCGCGGCAGCTGTACGAGTTTGAAGAGCCCCCGCCCAAGCAGCGGGTGGCGCTGGCGCTGGCGGCAGACGGTGCCGGCGACCCGGAGACGATGATGCTGGCGACCGATTTGCGGCGAACGGAGACGCTGACCTTCCTGGCGGGAGACGGGTCGCAGGAGACGGAGACGCTGACGCTGCTGGCGGGAGACGGCTCGCAGGAGACGGAGACGCTGACGCTGGCCGTGATGCCAGAGAGCGGTGACCCGAAGCAGGGGCCACTCATGGTGGAGGTCACGGGCCAGATGCTCGCCGACCACTTCATCTCAGGCGTGGACAGCTAGCGAGGCCGAAACGCCGACGTCCCTCTGAAAACGTGGCGGCCCGCGCCTGGCGCCGTGGCCGTCCCCGGCCGTCCCCTCCTCCCGACGGGGTGGGGAAGGTGGCGACGGGGACGGACCGGCGGCCGCGGGACGGCGGCACGGGTCGTCGCCATCGTCGGATGTTTGCATTGGTCGCGGCGGCGGCAGCGGCGCGGCGGCGGCTGCCAGCCGGCGACGTGAGTCACCTGTTTGTGTTCCCTGCGCCACCGATCCGCCGCTGTCCGGCGGCGCCGACCGTGGAGCGGACGTGCCGCACCTGCCGCACCGCCGCGAGCCTGACCGCGTCGCCGGCGCCGCTCGGTCTCTCGGTAGCGGCACCGGCCGCTCTGTACCGTCCTCCGTCCATGACCGCCCCTCCCCGCGTGTCCCCGGCCCGCGGGCAGGCTGCGCCGGCACCGGCTGCGCCACCGGCTGCGGCGCCGGCGGATGTCAGCCGCCGGTCCGCGCTCGTCCCGGCCGTCCCGTCCGTGGCGGCCGGCGGCGCGGCTCGCTGGCAGCGGCCGCCGCCCTGAAATAGCGCTGCGCAGCCACGTCTGTTGTCCCGCCGGCGGCTATTTTCACGACTGTCACTGGCCGTGAAGCGATCGGGCTGTGCGGGGCTATTCGCGATCGCCGCCCGCCGCGCGCCGGCTATTCCGGACCCGTTCAGCCGTGAAGGCGCGCTGCGGGCGGGCGGCGCCTTCGTCTCGTCACGTGTCGCGAGGTCCGCCCGGGCCGCCGCGCTTAAAGCCGTTGCCCGCTAGCGGTCACGTGACGTGTCACGCGTACAAAGTCTCTTGCGGTTCTCAGGTAGCTGTGTGGGCTTCCGACGATGTCGTCGGGAACGTTTTTGTTCCTGCGTCTCGGCGATGGTCGGGCAAATGGGGTTCTGCCTGTGCGTCATGTGTCATACGAATGCCATGTGTGGAGCCATGCCATGCCATGCCATGCCATGCCATGCCATGCCACCGTATGCTACGGTGCAGCGTACGTTGGGCTTGCGAAAAGCCTCGCATGGAGACAGCGGAATACGCGAGGCATGATTATGTCATGAGCGACGTCAGTGAACATGAACGTACGTATGCACACCGAACGTGTGCAAGTCACTTGGGCTTCCCCATTGGAATTGCGCAGGATTGTGAGCACGTTCGAGAACGTAAGGACGCTGTGAGGAATGTTTGGGGTGGTCGGGGCCTAAGTTGATAAACTATCTCGACGGGGTTTGTCCACAAATGGAGGGGGCTGTCGGGTGCTGACGTGAACTGGGGTGACGCCTGCATTCCGTAGGGACTCATTTATAACGGATAGAAGGACAGTTGAGGCATGAGTGCGATGTCTTCCAATGTCAACAGCTGTCCCTCAAAAGGCGAGGAGCGCGACGGTACGACTCCTCCGTTGATGACACATACGTCCACGGCACTCCGACGAGCGATGACAGGGAACGGGGGGGGGGGGGGGGTCACAGCGAGTCAATTACTTTCGTTTCATCTAATCACCCCGGTGTACCGCGTGCCTGCAGGCTATTCCGCCGTGTCCACACGCTGTGGCAGGCGGCGAATTTGGCAGCTTATCTGCTAGTGAACAACACATGACATGACTCATTTTCATTGACGGGGATTGATGCCGCGATTGACACTCGGCTGCTGAGAGCTGATGCCAGTTACCCGTGCAGTTTGATCATGCGATCACACGAGTGACCACCACGGCAGATCATGCGATCACTCAAGTGACGATGATGATTATTTAGAGTTTTAGGGTGCGTCGACTGCGAGTGGTTGTGTAGCGCCCAGCGAATAGGCGCCGGAAATCACAGCATAAAATCACGAAGGGAGTTCACAAGTATTTATACCGGTGAAAACGTGCACTGAAGGAAGCGGTGGTGTATTCCATTGATCACACCGCGTAACTGAGTATAACTGAAAGCTATGAATTGCCTGCGATACATTTCAGATTGCTCGGCTTGTTTGCATATTTAAGTAACATGTGTGTTTGAACAGTCATTACCAATCGCCAGCACCCGGAACGTTTCCTAATCAGAAGCATCATCAAGGCCACTTTGATGCCCGCCTGCGGCGTTGGCGGGCCGACAGGTGGTCCCGGGTGTGCGGTCAGTCGGCACCGAACACGTGCGACCGGCCACCGGGGCGGGCCCGCCTCCCCAGACTGACCGCCAGCCGTGTTCTGGAGGTCGCTCTGGAGCGGGCCGGTAAGCTGACTCAGAGGAAAGCGACCGAACTGCTGGGAAAGGCACCGAACTACTGGGAGAGGGGCCGACCTGCTGGCTACCGAGGGCTGGCCATTGGGCGCGCGTTCCTAGAAGGGGAGCATCTTTACACTCAGGTGTCGCGTGGATAGCTGGCAGCGTAACCAGCCCTGCGTCGATACTAAGCGTGCGGCCTTCTATAAGCATAAATGGGGATGGCATCGGGGTTTTTATACTTGAAATATATCTGCATTGGTGTGTGTTAAACCAAGTGATTTTGCATTCGGTTGGATTGCACACTCATAAATTTAAACGGCATGGCCTTGCAGCGCCCGTCGGCAAAAGGCGCTGTTGGTGTTCAGTGGGTCGCACCGCCCACTGTGTGTATTTCCATTCGGCTCGCTTTGTGTTCGTGTCTTACCCTTAGTGGCCAACTAGCAGCAGTTTGTTTCCACCGTACAGTGATTGGTTCCCACCTTGCAATAGTTGGCAATAGCTAGGCTTTGTTTTGGTCTCGCTCTGTGCGCGCGAATTAAGGGGCTCACGCCCAGACGCGAATTGGGAAACGGTCGGAGCGGGGCGGACACCTGGAGCGAACAGCAGGCGCGTTTTTGCACTGTCTGTCAGCAAGCGGTGGTCTTTGCGGTCTCGACTGGCCCGACAGACCGCAGCCCGCGCGGCGAGCGGTCGGGTGTTTGGCAGCGGCCCGACGGCGGCTGGCTCTGGACGCCACCGACGCCGAACAATAGTCGCCGACGGAATGTGGCATCGCCGCTGGCGACGACAGCGCCCCACGCGGCGGCTGACGCAATCTGGCGGCCGGCCCTGGCCGCATAGGATATTGTCTGAGCGAGCGCCCGACAGTAACGAATCGTGCCCACCTGCTGCCACCTGGTCCATGAGAGGTTTGGAGGGCTGCCCTCCGCGCCGTGTGCTGTCCCGGCTCCGTCCGGACTCATCGCCGCTTGCGACCCGAACCTGTCCGCGCGGGTCCCGCCCGGGGTCCTGCAGGTCCCACCGCCGGTGCGCTGGCGTCACCTGATCATGCGCGCGCGGCCCACCTGCGGCGGCCGGCGCGCTTGGCAGCGCCGGGCCTGCCCCGGACTCAGCTGACAGGGGCGGCCGTGCCAGCCGGCGGTAAATTTAGCCGAGGGCTGTGCCGGGGTCCGACACCGCGCCCCCTTACCCGCCGGGCCTGGGCCCGAGAGGGTTCGCCGGCCGTCAGCGGGGGTAAGCCCCGGGCCGTCACGCGCGAGGGAGGCGGGGAGCGCACCACTTCCCGTGCACCCGCCGCGTGTCGTGCCGGTGGGCCGCCGTGTTCCGTTTCATTCAGGGCGGTGCCTTACGTAAACCATGGGAACTCACCCACTGCGTCTGGCCGGGGGTGGGGCTTTACCTAGGGTGCAGTTTTGGATGTGTTAACGCGTCCGCGTACCCCTTGTTTACCGCGGTGGTCCGACACGGAATGGACAGTTTATAGACAGACAGATAGACAAAAATGATCGTTTTATCATCCGCCTCTTGTCTCGCAACGCATTTATGAAGTTCACTGGGACCCGGCTCTGTTAAGGCTCGAGGGGCGTAGGGGGCGTAGTACGTATGTGAAGGGTGGCGCACATGTGGTAGTAATGTGGGGGGGGGGGGGGCGTAGATAGTCGCCTCCCCCCCCCCGCCGTACTTCAGACGAACGTTTGCGAAGTTCTGGCTTTTCTACTCTCCCACCTGCATGGTGTAGACGGATTTTGCCGTGGATTTGTTGCTGGCGTGACTTCCCGAGCGTTGGCTCAGTGTTACGCTCAAGGAATCACATTTATCATGTACGGCGTGACCAGTCACATACTGTCATACATGTCCCGGTAGTCAGCGTAGCCACCCACCGTTTTCATGTCTGGCCGTCGGGAAATGTTATTTCTCGAGTTATCCCCAGAAATAAGGATATGATCTGTTTATATGGAGGTCATCTCTGAATTACAGGGGGAAATTTAAGCCTGATTTTCTATTGACCAGGGGTGCGTAACCAGAACCCAATAACTCAATTACCAACATCATTTTTGAATGTAGTCACCACGATACGCCAGTGTTGCAGCTGCGACCCGAAACATGGGCTTCAAACCCCAATGGCTTCAACACCTAATAAGTGTGAGACGTAACCAGTGAGTAGCGTTCGCCGGGACCTGGCTTACTCGGCCATGCGGCGCCTACAGCCGTCTGCCGCCTGCCGTGCGCCCGGCGGCGGCGATCGCCCAGCCGGGGGATCTGGACGGCTCCTCCCCACACGGCAGGCGGTCAGCTCGCTGGACGGCTCCTCCCCACACGCCGTCCAGCGAGCTGACCGCGTGGGGATCCCCTCCCCCCCGGCCCCGCCGGCGGCGCCTCACCTGAAGCGGCGAACACGGCGAGCGAGGCGACGAGCAGGAGCGCGGCCGCCAGCGCCGGCAGTGGGGCGGCGCTCGCCATGACCGCTCGCGCGCGGACGTCGGCTCACTGAGCGGCCGCCATGCCGCCGCGCGCTCGGCCGACGGCCGCCGCCGCTGCCGACGCCGACGCGCCCCCGGCCGTCACGTGACCGGCGACCGGTGACACGGCGCGCCGGCGGCTATTTCGGCGCGCCGCGGCCGGCGGCCTTGTATGGCGCAGGTGACATCGGGTCCGCGGCGACGTCAGCTGACCCGGCGAGGACGCGGCTGACGGGCGGCGTGACCACCGCCGCGGGGCGGGGCGCCGCTGGGGTCGGCTGTCGGTGACGCCGTTAGCTGCTGGTCGCCGCGCCGCCGCTGGTGTTGACGGCGGGCTTTGAGGATGTGCTGCGGACGTGTAAACAGCTCACGTGCGGTTGGCTAGATTCACCGTGACATAGCCCACGATGATATTCCAGAGCACGGGTTCTGAATGATCGTAAGAGTTTGTCGGTGTCTGGGTTGGTCTATGCCCTTTGATTCTCTCTCTCTATGGGCTCTCCTCGAATGCGCACGTTTTGATCATTACCTTCGGCTCTATAGGCAAAGTGCGGACATGGCGGAGCGCCCCAAGCTGCCCGGTATGTCTAAGCGCCGATTGTTATCAAGTGGCGCTGGCCACTGGGTACGCCGGCACGTGTAAACATCAATTGTCGGCCGCTCAGACAACCTCGCTTCGGTATTCCTGCGGTCCCGACCGCCGACACGGTAGCTGCGACACTGTCAAGACGCTGACCAGAGCCCGCCGGGAGCGGAGCCGGTCCGACGGCGCCGGTGACGCTCGCGGTGACGCCGCGGCCGCCGCACGGCGCGGCGCCTGGCCGTCTGCCACCGATTGCTGCATACACACAGCTGCGAGCGACTTGCCGACCTGCCCCACGGGCGGTTGCCGAGCGCCGGGGGTGGCGGCCACGGCGCCGTCGCGCTCTCACGCCGGCCAGTGGGCCGGCTGCAGCCTGGGGCCACGCCGCAGGTGCTGCCCACTGAAATCAACGGTCGTGGCGGGGATGATCCGATGATCCGATGTCCGCTCCGATGATCTGATGATCCGATGATCCGATGTCGGCTCCGATGATCCGATGATCCGATGTCGGCGCTCGAGAACTCCAGTCATCAGCAGGGGCATCCGATCGAACTTATTTCTGCGCCCTTATGTCGACGTCAGCCCTCTCGCTATGCTAGCAGCGTGTGGTATTGCTGGGGCTGAAGCAGCGGAGATGATTTATTCAACATTGCATTCACAACATTTTCACATTCACAAGGCGGTGGGTATCGTGTAACAAATCGCGGGTTGATTTGTGTGGTTATGGGATCCAGGTGATCTTAAGGTGGAACAGACCCGTCACTCGATCGTGTTTTTCAATCCCGTGTCTTGCACTGGGTTTGCCACTGTGGTATCGTAACGCATGTTTAATTTTAAAGCACTTTAGTTCACCAGTGGGTTAGAGCAAATATGGCGTTAAGTTGCTGTGCGTTTCGCTGCAACACGAGTGTGTCCCAAGGCGATGGATTGGGGCGGCGTGTCGCTGTTCGCCGTTACGATCAGCGACATCTCGGATGAACTTTCCCAGTCTGTGGGCCGTGCCCGTGTTGATTTTACCTTCGGACCAGCGCGGCACGGTCACCATCGATAAAGCGGCTGCTGCAGCTGGCTGTGGACCGTGTCGGGAAGTGAGGCACCATAAGTGGGCTCAGTTTTTCGCAAATAACGAGACTAGCTATCCATTTTTGTCGCTGTCGGCGATGCGGTAGCTTGGCTGACGGCCCATCTGTATGGGCAACGCGTCCGTCTTGGGCCTGTGGCTAGATACTTTATTATATACGCTGACCGTTGGCTGACGTAAAAGGTACATCTCAAAACGCTACGTGAACGTTGTTTTAAATCTGAATATTATGTCCCTCATTTTATTGGTGCTAAAACGTGCTTCGCGCACATCGCATGGAGAAGATCGATATGCGCATGTGCTGTTGTACCATTCAATTGCACCCTTGAGGCGTTGGACTACGCATGTTGTATTTATGACAGTGCGCGTGAATGTACCCAACGCATTCTTCACGTCGTCCATTACAATGCTCCCCGTATGGCATCGCAGAGATGTTTAACACATCACCTATCGCAAGCCTCATGACGGAATCACCTGAGCCGCGCCCGTCACGAGGATGGAAATATCCGGTATGCGCTATGCGCTTACGCTGGGGCAGTCCCCGTCAGTTCCAGGCATGCAGACAAGCAGGCTGCTCCGTGAGTGTGGCGTGTTCACACCTCGTCAGAGAGCGTCTACATCCCTCTGGACAGGATGATTTGTCCCGGGTGCTCCGTTATATACCAGGAAGCAAATGGCGTTGTATTGCATCTAAACAGCTGTTTTTGTTCTAGAAACATGTCAACTTGAAAACTTTACACGGCTCATTACTAAGGTAAAAGCCTCGTTATGGTTTCAAAATGACCACTGCAGCGCGCGCCCGAAGCTCGTAATAGGCGACAACACAAAAGCGTGACCGCACGCGTGCTGGCTGCTGCCACGCCCCTGCTCGCTGCTGCCGTGGTCCCGCTGTGACCACGGCTGGCGTGGCTCTGCTGAGCTGGTCTGCCATCCCGGGGTGTTACGGGTGTCAGCTAGCGAGCGGTCGCCGCTGCCTTGCTGTGAGCACGGCTGGCGTGGCCCTGCTGAGCTGGTCTGCTATCCAGCAGTGTTACGGGTGTCGGCTAGCGAGCAGTCGCCGAAACCGTCACTCCGGAGCGATTGCGCAAGCTGCGGGTAACATGGCAGTTGGCTGGTGATAACATGGATGCAGATGAAACCAAACACACGCTGCGTGAATGCCCAAACAGGATCCCGCTCCGTGACGGAATGTCATGGCAATCTTTGGACGTATAAAGCTTGCGACGCACTTGCTAGCTCCTCTGTGTTGCCATTAGCTTCGAGCTTTTGCTGCAACTCCATTTGGACTTTTTTTAGCACGTTTTACATATCACCTGGGTGGTATTAAATGAAGATGGCCACACACAGACGCACACGGCCGTGTGCGTGTGTGAAGCTGTGCGACGCTCGACCATGTGATAGGCTCCGCAGGCGCTTGGTCCGCACGCCCGTCCCGCTGTCACAGCCGTCCAGTCTGACGTTTGGTCCGCACCCCCGTCCCACTGTTGCAGCCGTCCAGTCAGACGTCCGACGTCTGATGTCTAATGTCTGACTGACGATGTTTGACGCCCGATGCCTGTCCTATGCGTGCTGCCTGCTGCCGGCGGCCGGACCGCTAGGGCATCGCCATTGGCAGGCCTGCCCGGGGCAGGCCGCCCAGGGCAGGGCAGCGCCCCGCGCGGGCTCTGGCACCCGCCGCGCCATTGACATAGCAGGGATGCCGCGCGGCTGTCGGAAAGGGCTGGTCCGATGGCTGGTCGGGCGCATAATTTGGCTTCCAGTCGCGCCATTGGAGCTGAAATCGGGCGGAGCCGTCACGGGGCCCGTTTGGGGCGTCTCGGGTGTGACGCCGGCCTTTGGATGCAGTCTGCACGTGGAGGAGACGCCTGGAGACGCTCGAGGGCGCATGGACATGCTGCCTTTGGTCGGTGGACTTTGTGCACGGCTGAGGGAGTTTACTGGCAGGGGTCGCACGGCGCGGCCCGGATCTACGCCCATTTTATCTTTATTGTGGCGAAAACACGCCGTGCTAGGCCATCGCGCTTGTGTTTGAAGTCCTCGCCCACCTGCCACTGGTGTTGAACGCACGCCGATTTCCTCCAGCTGTTCGCGTACAGCATATAAACTACGTCGACTCGGTTGTACCCGATAGGCGGGACTGCCAGCAGCCGCTGGCGCCGCCCGCGCCACCTGTCGGCGACCGCGGCGGACGGCGGGGGCGCCGGTGGCACCGTTCCGAGCGCCGCCGGCGCGTGGCCGCCGCTTGCGTCAGGCGCGGCCGTGGCCGGGCGATGGGCTCGGCTCCCCCCCCCCCCCCCCCCACCCAGCCCCGCCCCGCGTCGGCCGGGTCAGCGGAGACGTCGGGCCCGCCGCGACCGATGGTCCCCCGGCGGTGGCGGCGGGCTGAGGTGCTGGGGAGCTGGTGCCAAGCGGACCCGGCGCTGGCCGGCGCCTGGACGGTGTCGGCCAGCCGATGCGACCGACGCCAGGAGCCGTCCCAGTCCACGCCCCGGGCCTGGGGCGGTGCTCTCCGCCTCGGGGTGACCCTGCGATGCGGCGTCGGCTGGCGAGTAGGACAGCGTGGACTGTGTTGGGGAGAGAATGCGTGGGGGAGGGGGGAACTGATATGGGACGTACGGACAGATTGGGCCGGTTACACAAGGCACCAGCTCCACATTTTTACATATCATTGTACAGCATTGGATGGCCTTGTATGGAACTGACCTCAAACTGGAGATGGCAAGATAGATGGAGATGATTTAGTCAAATCCTTTTAATTGTATGACATTGTAGATCAGCGTCCACGTTAAGAGTAATTGTTCCTTGGGACCTGACTCCACCACCATTAACCATCCGGTACAGCTGATGGTGAAACGGAGCTCTTTTGTTCGCCCTCCCTGTATGTGGGTCCGGCGACATCTATGCTGGAAACGGCAAATGGCCGAAATATAGCACCGGTACCAAATCAGTGCTGGCGGTACCTGGTTGGTGCCTGAGTTCTCGGGACTTTGTCCATGCCAGGAATGTTAACCTGTGTTTAACGTATTGAAAACGGGTACCCATGCTGGTACCGACCGATGCCTGTCGGTCCGGACGGCGATAACGGGCGGCAATGAGCTCTGAGTGATAAAACCCAGCTGGGCTTGCGTTCGTCTTGCTCTCGCAATGTGCGACGGGAAGCAGCACTATGTCGACTGCGCATCAGGCGCGCTTACGTCACTCATTGCTGTTATGTGGAGCCGACAGGCCGCTCTGCCATCGATGTGGTGTCGTTCTCACTGTCCACCATGTGATTGTGTCGTGTCCGCGCCTTGTCGAAGAACATCGGCGTCACTTTGGGTAGCAGGCTTCGTCCCGGACGATTAGCGATGCGGTTGGAGACATCTCATTGAATCTAAACAGCTCTTCTTGTTTCTAAGAAATATCGACTTCCAGGTCATGCCCACACCTCCCTTAGTAAAAACATCGTTATGGGTTAAAAACATCGCCAAATGACAGTTAGAGTCGGCACGCCCTGAAACACCAATAAACAACAAGGATCCACCTCGTCCGTCGTTGACTTCGTCGGCTGTTCTCAATCCACTGTGTAACGACCTGCCCTTCTGTCTGGTGGGACGATTTCCCGGCCTGGCCTAACCTGGCCGCGGTTGTGGCGGTCGTCCTCCGCGCCCCAGCAGCCCGGTGTCACGCCCGCCTGACCCTCGCCGCTCTCCCGACAGGCACACAAGATCGAGGAGCACAACCGCAAGTACGAGCGTCGCCGCGAGGAGCGCGAGCTGCGCCAGAAGCAGGAGCGCATCCGCCGCGCCCGCCAGGAGCAGGAGAAGGCCCGCGCCCGCGCCGCCGCCGCCGCTGATGCCGCCGCCGCCGCCGGCGGTGGCATGCCCGGCGGCATGCCCGGAGGCATGCCTGGGGGTATGCCCGGGGGTATGCCAGGGGGTATGCCCGGAGGCATGCCCGGAGGCATGCCCGGAGGCATGCCCGGAGGCATGCCCGGAGGCATGGCAGACCTGCTGAGCGACCCGGACATCATGGCTGCGATGCAGGTGGGTGTCGAGGTCCCGGCTCGGCGGACCCTGGGTCGCTGTGACGAGCCCTCAGCCCTCGCTGTGACTCCGCTCCCCACCGCGCTCATGTGTCCGGTTACGGCCGCCAACCAAGTCGCCTGTCATTACCGTGTCACCGACGACGGCGTGACCTTTGACCATCTGATTTTCCAATGTGGAGCGATTTTCATCACCGGCAGGCATAAGCGGGCCTGCACTGGCGCCACTGGTCCATGCTTTAGACCGTGTGTTTTTCAATGTTCCCCTGCCATGTTGCTTGCGAGTTAGATCGGACGGCGCGCCGCCAGGCCAGGCCTTACCCTGCGCCGTCACTTTCAGGATCCGGAGGTAATGACCGCGTTCGCCGACGTCTCCAAGAACCCGGGCAACATCATGAAGTACCAGGACAACCCCAAGGTCATGGCGCTGATCACCAAGATGACCCAGAAGCTGGGTGGCGGAGCCGGCGGCGGCGGAGGGCGGCATGCCTGGCTTCCCCGGCGGCTTCCCGGGCGGCATGGGAGGCTTCCCGGGCGGCATGGGAGGCGGCCCGGGCGGCATGGGTGGCGGCCCGGGAGGACCGGCCGGCGCTCCGGACATGGACGTCGACTAGCCGGCCAGAGGAGAGCTCGCGAGCCGGCAGCCGCCGTGGCCCGGCGGCCCGCTCCGCTCAAACGCGGGCCGCGCACCGCCGCGGGGTGACGCCGCCGGCCGCCGGACCGGGCGTGCCGCGTCCCGCCCTGGTCCAGCGGCCGGTGACGGACGGCAGCTGCCGCGGCGGCCGGGCGGGCGCGCTGTCCGCCGCGGCCGGCGCTGCGCTCCGTCCGGTGCGCCGCGGCGCTGCCTCGCCGACGACGGCGCAGCAGCGGGCGCCAGACTGTGCTCTGGGTGACCTCTGAGTGCCCGTCTCGCGGTCTGTTCTGCTGTCTCAAGTTCGATGCCGCACGCCCCCCCCCCCCCCCCCCCACGGCAGTCTGCTGCGTGTGGAGCCGCGCTGGGCGCCGGCCGGGTCGGCCGGGGCTGGCCGCTCTCTCGTCACGACGGCGGCCATGTGTATGTTTGCGGTGGGCGTGGACTGCTTTCTCGGAGGCCCGGCCGGGGTCCCGCGACCCCGTCTGCGGACCGCCGGGCCCCGGCCGCCGGCCGTCCGCTGGCTGGTGTGTCGGCTTGGAGCCTCGCGTGCGTATCTGGGTAGTGCTAGGCGTCTGGAGGGGACCCCTGACGCCCAGCTGAGTCCGCCATCTGCCTCGGCAGCGCCATCGCTATCACGCGGCGTCGCTGGCCTCCTGTGTTGCGTTCCGCTTTGGTTGCGTTTATGTGTTTGAGGATGGCCCGGGTGAACAAATAGACAATCCACCTGGCTAAGTGTGTTTTGGTTACGGATGGGATGCTTTGGAGACATGCGCTCTGAACTAACTTTTATTTTAGAAACGTTTGTCGGTGTATAATGGAGCACACTGCCATCTGTTGGACGATAAACCAGCTCCTACTAAACACCCCAAGCGCCAGGGTCATCGTAAAACAGCTTAGCATACATCAGCACGAGCACACCAACATAGCGAACGTATTTGAAAGGTATCATAACCACATACCTTAGCTTAACATAAATTACAATGCGCTGCTGTCGGTCGAATAAATGGAAGACAGTGCCTTTCTAGCACGCCATGAGCCCTTTCGAATCTGTGATTCGGGCGATCAGCGCACTCATACTGACCCAAGCAATACCACAACAAAGAATATTAATTCGATAGCTCTGCTTGCATCGCATTCCATATCCCAGCACAACGCCTAGCATGCAGACTCGAATCATCACGTGTTAAATAAAGCTGCGCTTCCTCCAGAAACAACGCGGATTCGTCACTATTGTCACAATGTACAGAACACATTTCCTGATAGCCCAGCACTGAAATACGCCACACAGAACATTTGATATAATGCGTTGGCAGCAGCTCCATTCTACGTCAGGCAAAATCCCGCTAGAATGCTCGGGTTGTGCGTGCGTCTGGCTCGCTGTTGATTTCGTGAAGCATAAATTGAACGCTGTGTAAACAATGGTATCGCGATTAGCCCTGGCGCGTCGGGCCTTAACCATTGTCCGCCAAGAGCAACACATTTGCGATCAATAAGATCAGCAACAAAATGCAGTGGAGTTGGTTCCATCTGTACGTCCATACAGACCAAGGCGTTCAGCTCGGTGACGACCGATTTGGGCATCCTGATCCAGACTTCAGATGATCTAACTTCCCAGCCATCGTCAATACCTTCACGGCGTCATAGTTCATTGTTTCCGGTCCAGAGCAGGCATTACGTAGGCCACTGTGGAGCGATATTGCACGCTGAGGTCGCCCCACGTTGACTCGCTCTTCCAATACGCGTAACGTCCCATTGTCCTATACACACTGCACAACTACAAGTCAATGAGGTTGCCTTCCCAGACGCGTGAGCTCGCCTGTTGATGTCACCAGTTACATGTGCGGCGGGTAGGTGCTGCGAAGGGTGCACGTGCCATGGCGCGCCGCTGACCAGCCCGGGCCTCTCGCGCGCTGCCTGGCTAGCAGCCGCCGCTCTGGAGCGGCAGAGCGCGCGCCGCGTGCTGAGCTCGTGGTGCGGCTACAGCCGCATCATGTGGTGCAGGTTGCGGTGGAAGGGCATCTGTTTGAAGGCCGTCGTGGGGGCGGAGGGGGGAGACTGGACTTGCAACCAGCCCAGCACCACGGGGTCGCCGGGCAGGAGGTCTGCGTCGAGCTGCCGGTTGGGCAGGAAGTGCGACACTTCCGGCCGCGTCAGGCGCTTCAGCTCGGCGCCGAGGTCCGCCCGCCAGCCGGGGTGCGGCGCCAGGATGACGTTGGCCGCGAACAGCCGGTCGGAGGCGCGCCGCGGCGCCGGCTCGTCGTCGTCGTCTTGGTCGGTGAGGTCGGAGTAGTCGCGGTGGGCGGCCCGGCGGCGGCGCGGCCGGCCGGGCGACACAGCCGGCGCCAGCGCGCGCAGCCAGCGGCCGGCGCGCGGCTCGGCGCCGGCCACCAGCGGCCGCTCGGCCGAGTGCGAGCGGCTGCGATGAGAGGGCCAGCGGCGCGGCCGCGGCGCCGGCGGCGGCGTCAGCGCGCGCCGGCCGAACAGACCGCGCCGGTGGCCCAGCTCGCGCGCCGCGCCAGAGTCGATGCTGTCCGTCGACATGGAGGGCGGGCTGCCGGCGCGGCCGAGCGGCGGAAGGCGCGCCGCGAGACACGCCGAGCACCGCGAGCACTCGGACGTCTGACTGCAGCTGCAGCTGCTGGCGCTGCTGCTGCTGCCGCCGCTGGAGTTCGTGTCAGAGTCAGGGTTGCGTCCCCCCCGCTAGTCGGTGCGCGTCTTGTACGTGTTCTTCCAGATCTCGACGAGGATGACGGACTGGTGGAAGCGGTAGAAGATGGTGAGCGGGAGGCTGATCCTGGAGATGACGCCCCAGGCCAGGAAGCCGTAGTAGTTGAACTGCATCTCCTGCGAGAGCCAGTGGTGCGACATAAACGTGTCCATCATCCAGAGCGTGGCGTTGGAGAAGAGCAGGAAGGTGATGACCTGGCGCCCCGGCTTGGCCTGCTGCTGCTGGCGCGTGGCGCACTGCCGCCGCACCGCCTCCGACACCAGCATGCCCTGGCACGTGGTCTGCACGATCAGCGTCACGTTCAGCACGAACAGCACCAGGTGGCGCGGCTCACCCAGCTGAATGCCGCCCACGATGAGGCCGAAGATGCCGAGCAGGTACACGCCGATGATGGTAACGGAGGAGAGCATCGAGTCGAGGTGCAGGGGCTTCTTCTTCTGCGCTGCCGCCAGCTTCGGCACTTGATAGAAGCCGACGAGCGTCATGACCACGGACAGGCTGAGCACGACCAGCTGCGTGCCGGACGACAGCCAGAACATCTGGTCCTGGAACTCCTCGCTGTCCTTCATCACGAAGAAGATGATGAGGACGACGATGCCGCCGACCAGGCAGAGCAGGCCGAGGAAGAGGCCCTTGGAGGCGGCGCGGCAGTCAGTGCGCCACTGCTTCCGCCGGCGCGCGTCCAGTGTGCTGCCCTCGTCCAGCTTCTTGGTCTCCGACTGCTTGCTGCGCTCCCGGCCCACGGACGTCCACATGATGTACGTGACGGCGGCGGCGATCAGACTGCCGGTGATAGGGGGTCGTTAAGAGCTGGCCGCGGCTGGGCGCCTCAGAGCGTGTGGCCGCGACTGAGCGCCCCAGAGCATATGGCCGCGTCTGTGAGGTCCGGACGAGCAACACTGGTCACAACGTATCCTCGACGTTACAGTGGTTGACGCTTTGTCCCGCTAATCCGGCTAGAATATGCGAATAGACAAGTCCGATAAACTAGTGGACTTTCTGGGTGCTTTCTTCGATGGATACTACCCGTGTATGTCACTTGAATCTGGACTACGCAGCATGTGCAGGGTGAACAAGAACTTCCGACCCAGCTTACCTGTACTCCACGATGAATGGAAACAGGTATGGCATGGACTTGGTCCACATTTGACCGAGGGTGTTATTATTGTAACACTGATAGAGCCGCATCACCCTTTGCGCATGTGCCGTGGTGAAGGAGAATGCAGAGCCGTTGACACACGGCGCCGGCAGCTGTTCGGATCCTGCAAACGATGTGTATTTTAACCGATGCCCACCTGCGCATGGCGGCAAGGGCATTCGTCGCACAAGATTAGCACGTAGGTTGTCAACCTGCGCGGATGAAAACGATCACGTGGACCACCAGCAGGGGCTTTACAAAATCACTCCGACCCCGTGGTTTTGTTTCGCACCTTGTCTGAGCTTGACAGTGCGCGCATTTCACCACACATCGGTTTTTTGTGGTTTTTGTTTTTTGCTTACTTGTAGCCTATTAGAGCATCGTACCTCCTGCAAGAGGTACGACAATGCGACACACGCCACCACACGAGTGTGACGCGACGAGGAATGCGCCCGCGCTCGCGCCGGACGGCTCACCTCCGCCGTACGGGTTCCCATAGTAGAGGACGCCCGAGTCGCGCAGGTCTAACGTCCGGTCGATGGTGGGCTCGGTCGTGCCGTCCACGTCCAGGTAGCCCTCGTAGCCCAGGTCCTTCAGGCCCGGGAAGCCTGCACGCGACCGCAGTCAGACCGTCAGCGGTGTGAGTTGGATCCGGGTAGGGTCACGCAAAGGGAAACGCTCCAGCGGGCGCGCAGTGTCAGCCGACGCCAAACACTACGCGAAGGCCGATTTCACGAGCCTCTCCGTGGTGACACGTTCGCCCAAACAAACTCTCCGGAGCAGCGGCCACGTGAGGCACTTGCCATACCGCAGCTACATAGACGCTTCGGCTGTTGCCTGTCGGTCAAGTGTGCGCTGGGGGCCGACACTGATAGACCCCCTCTCGCGCCCTCGCCGCGCGTCCGGCCGCGCCCGCCGCCGCCGTGCCTCACCCTGGAGCCGGAGGGCGCTGGGGCTGGGCGTGCCGCCGTACTGCAGCGGCCGGTCCGGCTGGGCGTGCAGGTGCACGAAGTGCACCCACTCGTGCGCCGAGTCCCAGATCACCATGCGGAACCACACCGAAAGGTTGGTGGCCACCAGGTGCATGAAGCCGAACCGCGCCATCTGGCCGAACTTCTCCACAACCACCTGCCGGGCGGGGTCAGGCGGTGTCAGGGTCAGACGGTGTCGGGGTCAGGCGGTGTTGGGAGAGGCGGTATAAGGTCAGGCAGCGTAGGGGTCAGACGACGCCGGGGTCAGACGGTGTCAAGCTCAGGAGACAGGACAGGGCCGGCCGAGCCGACGCGTCACCAACTGCCAGTTTGGGTCGGGTGGTGGCAGGATCAGGGGGGGGGGGGGGTTCTGCACGAGCTTAAGTCACGGTCAGACCCAGACGGTATCAGAGTCAAAGTTGAGTGCAGCTCTGACTTAACTTTTGTGTCATCGCATGTACGGCGTGATGAAGAGGGATGGAGGAATGAGGAGAGCGGATAGGACAGGGTTAATAGCTGACAGCAGCTCGGCAATGTTCAAAATTCAACGCAAAAAGTCGAAGAACGAAAAATTCAAACGCCATCATGTGGATCCCGGGCCAACACAATCACGCGTAATTAACAGAACCTAAAGCTCACATCGCGCGGGTTTCTGATTGCGATAGCTTGCTTTCCAGATCATCAAAAGACGCCAAGCGCTAACAACCCTCACCTCTGAGTTGACGAAGAGGAAATGCATCTGCAGGAAGGTGAAGATGGCCTGCAGGATGGGGTGGGCGAACGACAGCTCGCCGCTGCAGGTGGTGTCCGTGGTGGAGCGCATGGCAATCTCCAGACCGTTGAACACCAACGTGCCGAACCCGAACACTGCCGATAGCACAACGGAGGGTTAAACCAATCTCAGTGCAAACCCTACAGTGGAGCATGGCACTCCGTGAGCTGGGCGTTGGGAGTTCAGCAATGCACGCTGAGGCCCGATCGGTGCTGGACATGGGACAAAGTAGACGCAGAGTTAAACATCGGACAGTTGGAGGGAATCGCGGGGTCAGCTGGCGCTGGTTGGCTCCACTAACGCACAGTTGGTTGAGCGTTTGTGCACGGCTCCGTGTGGAAGGTCGTGGTTTCGAATCTGGCTATCGGCTTACAGTTTTGTCGGCCCTGCGATTACCAGTGAGAGAGACCGACACGCTGAGATATTCCAGATTTTGAGTGTTTTGTTAACAATCCAACATAGGTCGGGTTGCTGACGGGATGGTTCAGTTAAGCGATGGCTTTGACCATTTTTGACAATCTTGTTGTTCATTGGAAATACGTACCTTTTACCTGACTTGCAAATATATCACAATGAATGTTCTAATCAATTCAAACGAATCACTGGATGCTAAAAATTACCAGATATCAGGCATCAATTGTATGAAACCTCGTGGAATTTCATGCGCTGGATAAGTGAGTTCCATAACTGTCGTACCCGTGACTCTAAATGACCACTTTTGACTGCCGGCGATGCCGAACGAGTATCGTACAACATCACGCTGCCGCTTCGCATCAACCTATCCTCGGTCCACGGCTGCCAGTCGGCACCCACGCGTTAAAGATGTAGATAAGCGTGAAGACCTCCCGGCTGACTGTCGAGCACCGTCACTCACCTCCTCACCTCTCTCCATTCCGCTCACTCTCTTCACCGCCTTTGAGAATATAGCCCGCAAATGCGGGGTTGCCCGCACCCAACACTACGGTCCCGGTCTTGCGTTACTCAACGCAATGCGGTGAATGCACCTAGTCGATAACCACCATTGTCAGTGGATCGATTCAGTACCACCCTGAAGGAAATAAATTTGCAATACTTCCTTGAAGCTAAAATATCAGTGAAACAAACGCACTCGAACCTCCTTGTGCGGGCACGTGATACGCACGGTCTAAACAGAAGGCCTCGCTCAACACGTGGAGGTATGCGTAATGGCTTAGGTACGACTCCCCACCATTCAACATCCGGCAGCTGCGCCCCGTCCGCCACCAGCCACCAGCCAGTCACTCACGGAGCGCGCCGACCCGCAAGTAGAAGCTGGTGCGCGTGGTCTTGGAGCGCGAGATGTGCGCCCGCTTCAGCGTGCCGAAGCTGGCCAGGCTGGTGATGTCGGCGTCAGCAGAGGTCAGGTTCTGCTTGGATGACGTCACGCTCGGGATGTTGTCGGCCACCACCGTGATGTAGATGCACAGGATGGCGATGATGCTTCCCACGTACAGGTACATCATGAAGACGCCCTGCGAGACGGCAGTGTCAGTAGTTGCTCGTGCTGGCGTTTGGGTTGTTTGGTGTGGTGCGCTGAGATTGCCATGAAAGGAGACGTTCGTTTCCCGTCCGTTCGCGCAATGCTGTTCACCAGATAATGGTGTCACACGAGACACTCACACCAGCTTTTGATACTTGACCTTAATTTACCCACGTTGCGACCGCTACAACTGAACTTCGACATTAATATGCAGCGGCCTCAAAGTCAGTGGTGAAAGTGTTGACTATCTCGGTCAGACGAGTTTCAGCAGGTGTGTGCCGTCGATCTGCTGCGTCGCGCCCGCCACAGCTTCACATGTGAGAAGCGTGGTGGTCTATTTCATGACGCGACGCTTTCTCTGCATTCGTTACGGTAGATATACAAAGCAGACTTGTGAGGACAGAGATCAGTGACTGCGGGCGGAAATAGCACCGAGCTCTCTGAAAGCCAGAAAGATGGCTTGCATCTGTACACCAAGTCATTTGGGACACCTGGTTGCGGAAACAGTGTCTGAGC